GTTACAAACACCATCTCACACAATCACTCACTTTATCACTTTACTTCACACACATCGATACTCCAAGATACTGAAATTGTCATTCTTTCATATATGAATTAAGTCCCTACACATGAAATCTAAACTTGCTTGAGAGTTTACTCGCTAGCTCTATATATATATATATATATTACTTGAAGATTTACCATAGTAACAAATGATTATTTGTATCTAACTTTCTTTAAAAAAAAAAAACTATAATTAGTTTGACTAGTTATCAATAAGTTACAACAATGTCATTGGTATCCTAAACCTTCCAGATGTTTACTAATCTCTATATTGAGTTGACGACATGCTATTTGTACCTTTTCAACTTCTAGAACCTCCACTTGACATAAAGTCAACATTAGACTTAGTCTAACCAATGAAATGAAGTCTCCATTACTTAGTCAAATCAATCAAAATTACACTGAAGTCAAAAATATTTTTTCTTGGAATCTAGACTTTTGTACAAGACAAAATAGAAGTGCTCACTTAAATCTTCTAGAATTTCTTTTGTTATTTTACCAAGTATAGACATTATAGCTAAACATAGTTTTAACTTCATAAACTTAGTCATAACTAGCTAGACTTAGTCATTACTAGCTAAATTTGTCATAACTAAACTAATCATAATTAACTCATTTGCTACTTCTAGTTCTATTTGTCACATATAGCATCCAGTCTTAAAGTTTCAAAAGTGGAGAATATTACAAAATGGCTCATGCTTTCTCTCTACACCTTATTACTGAACATCTTATTACTGAGATGTTCAATAAATGTTCAAAGGATTCAAATCGTTGGACATATTTTAAAAACATGATATGTTGGATGATTGACACACGTCGACGTTTGCTTGTTCATATCAAAGCAAAGCGGTCTGTTTGTGATTTGTAGTAGATGAATCATCACGACAATCATTGTTCTTGAATTATCATTATGACTTACCACATTGATCATTTTATAGTCAAGTTACATGATTTTGTTGGAGTAGCAAATTGAAATCAACAAAGTGAGACTTATATCTATTACATGATGATGGCGGACAATAAATATTACAAGCGTGAACGATGATGAATCACAATAAGTAATGTAATTGCACACATTCATGATCAAGGATCTAGGATCTGAAATTTGTTTAATCGTATGTTTTCTTATGAAAGTACAGGAATTGTGAAGTAAATTGCTAATTACAGCTTTAATAAGATGAAAATATTTGCAATTTTCAAGTAGAAAAAGACATCCAAAATGAATATAGAATGTATGTGGCGCATCATGTGATTGTATGACAAATTGATTAATATGCGCACAGGAGAATTCATTACAAATGTATTTTGATCCATATCGTGATTTTATAAAACAATTTCTGAGCAAGTAGTATGTTGATATGGTATATATCAAGCATATATCAAGCTTTTTGGGCAAGTAGTATATTTCTCCATGCTTACAACTCCAAGAGTAAGTAAAAATTAAAATTTATAGTCATGATCATGCCACAAACTTCATTGATACATGGAATGATTTGAATGATCAGTTTGATTATCTATGTCGATTCCATGGAGTGTTGGTTGTCGCATTTGCTAACATTAGTTCTTCAAAATCTGATGTTTTCATATTAAAAAGACAAAAGAACGATCGTCGCACTACATTGACACACTTGTCATTAGAAAATATATTACAGAGTAAACAACATAAGCAATTGAGTTCAATCCATGGGCGTTTGTAATATTTTGAAATTTGGAGTATAGTAAAGATAAAATTGACGTAAGTTCTTTAGGTCAAATTTGGAGCATCAATATTCAAGCCAAATGATATGTAGATTTGAATTGAGTTGAATTCATGTGCATCCTTAGGATTTCAATCGACAAAAGTTCTTATCAAGATCAAATTCAAATGATCATGCTTCAAGCCAAATGCTTGTGTAGATTTCAATTGAGTTCAATTCAAGTGAGTCTTTAAGATTTTAATTAAATTCAAGTTATGTGTGCGTTGAATATTGAAGATTTTATAATTTCAATTGATACAAAGAAACAATGCTGATCTAGTTCTCAAACCTGCTGATCGCAAGAAACTCATGTCGATGAAACATACTTAGGGGAAGTTGCAACAACTTGTCCAATTATTTCCGAAGTCTCATAGGAGGAAAGATAATTAGCACAAAGTGAGGTATAACTAGCCGCTTCCCGTCTAAAACAGTGAATGACATATGAAGATGATACGTGTGAATGACCAAGTCAAGTATTCAACTAATTTGACATAGATTTGAAGCATATGTTGAAATTAGAGGTGACAAGTGCATAACTCAAGGCTGGCACGACGCGGTTATAGTAGGTCAAGTATTATTAGGTTTTAGAGATCAGCCCGATGTCTCTGAGCTCACATAAATGGGATTTAATTTGATTTTCGTGAGGTGGGTCCTATGACTATAATATTATTATATCGTTTGCGTTGATATATACTAATGCCTTTAATTTGCCGCATTGTTAAGTAAGATTTAGCAAGACGTCAATCATATCTAGCGAGGGTTTAGAGTGCTTGAATTCCTTGCTTTACTTTGGAGTTTTTAGTTTTCTAATTCATGATCATTTCCCTCGGACTCGTTGTCGTCATTCGTCTCATTCGGTCGTGAAATCTTCAACTGACAATGCAATCGCAAGTGATGTCGTTTGCTTCAATCCAATCTGTTACCATGGAACTAGATGAAACTTAGGGATGCAAACGTGGTCGTTCTACGAGCATGGTTAGGATCTGGAGTGTCATATGCAAGCACTGTAGCAATCTCGTCAATCATCATAAAAAGAACGAATCAGTCAACACGCACCTCAACATGTGTCTGAAGTTCCGCACGTTCATGAATGAACTGAAAGATGCAAATCGCGTAGACTAATTTGTTCTCAACAAGAAGCAGGTATTTGTAGAGCGTGAAAATTTGCCAAATATGAGCCATATCGCTATCAAGGCATTTAGAGATCGATCAAAGATTACGCGCTCCCGAGTGTGTCGTATGTCGAGAAATATGAGTTTCAAAAGCCGATTGCCATGCATTACTTCGCCACCGGCACCTTCTTCCAGCACATCGGAGACGTATATTTAATTGAGGCTATCAAGATGCTTCGTTCTGATGATGGATTGCTCTCGAGTCGAAAGCAGCTGGCGATTACTGAAGGCGAAGGTCGATGCTTGCATGAAGTATCCTTTGACATGCCTCATCACAGACGGATGGTCTAACATCAAGAACAACGCAATCATTAACTATATGACCATCTCTTTCAGTTTGTATCTAGAGGCAGTGCTAACGAAGTAGCAAGGACACATTTGTGTCCTTGCTAGTTCATTGTCAACGACGTCGAATGTGTGATCAAGACGTATGAGAGCATGACGTTTGTAGGCGAGGTAACGGACAACATAAGCGTGAACAAGAAGGTTTGAAGAGTGTTACGCGACAAGTTCTTGTACCGCTTCTTTCAAGACTGCACATCACACGAGCTGCACTTGTTTGTGAAGGATATAATCTATGCGACAAAGATAAAAAAAGCGGACGACGACACGACAATGTATCTGGTTGACTATCAGTTCGAGGAGATGTTGCTTTTCATCTACAAGTGCAAAGATATCGTGAAGTTCTATCACAATCATCATGTGATCAAGACGCAACTCAAAGAGATGCAGAAAACTCCGAGTGCTCGGAGCCTCGTTCATCCATGTCCCACGTGCTGGAGCATCATCAAACAGACGTGCAAGACCTTGCTCACTTCAGAACAACATATGCACACGATCGTCTCTGCACGCCACTTCATGAAGCTAACGGTCGCCCAAGTCAAGGAGTGCACACGATCGTCTCTGCACGCCACTTCATGAAGCTAACGGTCGCCCAAGTCAAGGAGTGCACAAAGGTCAAGTAAACTATCTCGGATCCAAAATTTGTTGACCTTTTGAAAAAGGCGATCAAGATATTGGCGCCTCTTGACATCTTTATTGTCAAGTATCAATCCGACAAGGTTTCCATCTCGGAGGTGATGCCACATTTCCATGCATTGCCCCTTGAGTTCTGGAAGCTGCTTGCCGCCAATATCATCAACGAGAACGAGCTCGCATATTTGACAAAAACAAGCGTCTTGCAATTGATGTTTATGTCCGGCAACACACACGATTTGACCTACATGCTTGACCCATGGCTTATTGCGGAGATAATGCTGAGGCAAAATCGTGAAGTGCTTGAAGACATCATGTTCCGATTTCCTGCTGATGATGAGCCGTGCGAATTTGTAGACGAAGCGTGAGCGCAAATCATCTTCAAGTAGTATATCGAGATCGTTATCGCCGCGCCCAAAGCGAAGGAGGAGGAATCGATGCGATACACAATGCTATCCAAAGGCCACAAGACCGTTTTGCAGTAGTGGTTAGTAGATGGCAAATATTGGCCATGTATTGGCGAAGTGTGGCCATCAAGCTTTTCAACATGGCGACGTCTAGTGCCGCCTTAGAGCAAAATTGTTCGACAATGAGCTTCTATTCAAAATTGAATAACTCATTGATCCCCAAAGAGCGTCAACAAGCTCACATTCATCAACAACTTGTTGATCTTCTACAATTAAGATGTGTAGGAGGATGGATATGAAACGGATGATTGCGACATCGAATAGAGAGTCTCTATTCACTGTCGCAATGACAAGTCTTAGTCTCTATAAGAGACTTCCACTTGTCATTTTTGCTTGATGAATTAATTTAAGAGAGATCCACTTGTCAACTAAAAAATCCATCAAATATTAGGTTTTATTGTATTAAACTATCAAACCCATTGATTTTGCAAAAATTTACTAGTTTTAGCCACCATGGCATCCCTGTCATTGTTAGTTTGAGTAATGGTTGGATCATTAATGAATTTGGTTGTGGTATTGATGGCCAAATAACATGCATTTAAAAAATAATTTAAATACATATATGTTAAAATTCATCATCTTAGATGTTTATGCTCTTGATTTAACTAACAATTGAACTATGAATCATTTATTACAAATTTTTTTTTTATATTCACAATCTATATTCATATATCTTTCAATCTACTAATGTGTCTATATAATTTCAAAATAATATAATATCCAATTCCCAATGTTCAAGAGAAATAGAAATATTAAATATACCGATTTCCTTGTATGATATTCATCCACTTGGCGTCGGCAAAACTCTCTCGCCCGCAATCTTCGTGGCTCCACGAAACAAAATTACGGTTCGTGTCGTGCAACGAAGCGAGGGAGGAGAGGAACGAGGAGAGAAGAGCGCAACCGAATGGATTTCTTTAGCAGGCCTGCTAAAGAAAGGCCGAAGCGTGGAAGCGTATCGACAGCGACCCGTTCGCTGTCAACGGAAACTTTTCGAGCTTTTGAAATTTGGCGTTTCGAATGGGGACGATCTGCTGCATGCATGCAGGCGGCATGACTCACGGCGTCCCTTCCCCTCCCTTCCCGTCACATTCCTCCAGTTTGCTCGATACGTTTGGTGTCGAGAACCGGCAAGCGACCGGCAAGCGCAGTCACTGTCTCTCTCGTAGTACGTAGCAGCGGCAGCTCCGAATCCCGAGGGAAGGGATTCTGAAGGAGAAGAGCAAGAGACGAGCGCCATCGCTCTGTGCTCGCGAAGCTCGGATCAGCAGCAGCTGCTGCTTCCCGTCGCCGCAAATTTTCCATTCCATTCTTGTACTGTCTAGTCTTACGTTCTTGACACCACTGCACTGCACTGCAAGGCATTTCAGTTCGATTCGGATCGGAGGAGCCTGAGACGACACGTGATGGCGAATAATAGCAGCAGCCGAAATGGGATTTGAGCACGAGCCTGTCCTACTTTGCCGCGCGTGCATTTCGACAGACGGACAGACAGACGTAGAGAAAGGCGCGTGACAAGTCTCTCTCATTGTAGCAGTGCTAATCTAGATTTTCCCACCACGTCGGTCGAGCTTTCTTCCAACAAATGCCGTATCGTCTCGTGCATTCCTTCCGACCACTCGCTGCGCTTCTCTGAAGCATCGAGCCACCGAAAGGGAGAGAGAGTTAGTGTGGAGGAGCAACAATCAGCGCAGTGGGAGCGCGAGCAGGAGCGATGGCAGGAACTTTTGTAAGTGCGACGAGAGAGACGAGAAGGCGAGGGGAGGGACGAAGGAGTTGTCTTGGTGGATTTGATGTCGCCTCGTGCAAATGCGGGGACAGCAGAGGGAGGGAGGGAGGGAGGATTGACGATGTGTGGAATTGCGCGTGCAGGTGGTGGAGGATCCGGAGGCGCAGATGAAACGGGGCGCGGGCGCAGGCGCAGACAGGAAGTGGAGGGACTGGTGGGCGGCGCTGCTGTACGTGGTGCATCTGCTGGCCGTGGGGGCGCTGGCGGTGTGGTTCGGAGTGGGCGCCGTGCTGGACTCGGACCGCGACGACCGCGACGCGTCCATGTACAACATCAAGTACTGGGCGCCACAGCTCGGCGCCGTCATCCTCTTCGCCGCCGTCTTCTCCTTCCTCTGGATTTCGCTCGTCAAATATTTCCCCGTGGGCATGATCAAGTTCGCGCTCTGGGCCGGCGTCGTCGTCAATTTGGTGCTGGGCATTCTCGTCCTCGCCTCGCGCACTCAGAACAGCGTCCTCGTGGGCATAGTCTTCATCCTCTTCGCCGTCCTCCAGGCTTTCTACGCGTACTGGGTCCGATTTCGGTACGTGGCTTCGAAACTTAACTTGCCAGCTTTCGTGCCGCCGATGATGTTGATTCTGAGCTCACTTCGATTCGGTTGATTTTGGGTTGGATTGGATTGGATTTGCAGGGTTCCGTTCGCAGCAGCGCTCATTACGAAAGTGATCATGGTCACGGGCCAGTATCCGGCGTGCTACATCGTCTCGTACTTGGCCGTGTTCGTGTCGGTGGGATGGATTGCGCTGTGGAGCTTCGGAGCATCGGGAGCCATCGCCACCATGTCCAATGCGGCGGCGATCGTGTTCGGGCTGCTGGTGAGCCTGTACTGGACCATGGAGGTGATCAGGAATGTCGTGCATGTGACGGTCGCGGGGACAGTGGGGACTTTCTACTTTCAGCAGCACAATATGCCTCGCAATCCCACCGTCCATGCATTCCGCCGTTCTGTCACCACTTCTTTCGGCAGCGTCTGCCTCGGGTCTCTCATCGTGGCCATTCTCGAAGCTATCCGGATGATGGTTCGTGTTCTTCCCAAATCGTTGTTCATTCGATCCTTGTAATGCTGCTCTGATTCCGGTGGGTGATAGCCTGATGTGCCACCCTTCTGCCTTCATGCAGGTCCAAGGCTTGAGAGGCCAGTGCAATGAATTCGTCGTCTGTTGCCTGTCTTGCCTTCTGGGCATAATCGAAAACCTCATTCAGTATTTCAACAAGTGGGCCTACATCCAGGTAGGCCAAGTGGTGGAATGCCAAACCTTATCCCAGTGTTATAAAATCAAAATGTGTGCGGGCAGGGTTTGTGACCCAGTTGGAAAAACAACGCAGTCCGTTTCATTGCATCGCAGAAACCTTTCTTTATACCCAGAATGGTGATGGAACTTCGCTGTGACTTAGAAGAAGCTTGACACTAGACCGTTTGTGGCATTCGAGAGAACTGAATTCAGTTCATACAAATTTTCTGATCGGTCGGAAGAGTATTGAAGGAGATTTTCTTGTGAGTGTTTCAGGTTGCACTTTACGGGAAACCTTTCGTAAGAGCGTCCAAGGACACATGGGCCATGTTCAAGGCTCAGGGATTGGATGTCCTGATCAATGACGACCTCACAAGTACTGTCCTGTGGATCGGTTGTATCATCGGCGGTGTTTTGAGCGCTCTGCTTGGTGGCTTGTGGACTTATTTTCACGTCACCAATACGCAGGAAAAGATGACGGTTTCCGTCGTGGTTCTGTCTTTCTTCATCGGCTACTTCATCGTAGGCGCACTTCCTTTCCGTCCTTTTATTCTTCGGGGTTGTCAGCTTGAGTGCAATGCATCTGATAACATAAGATAGTGTTACGGATGTGGGCTCTGACACCTCTCCTGTTCTGATGGATGCAGACACACTTGACCATGGCAGTCATCAATAGCGGAGTGGCGTCTTACTACGTCTGCTTTGCAGAAGACCCTGCCACTCTGAGAAGAAATGATCCTGAATTTTATGAAATCATGTGGTCTCGCCAAGGCAATCTCCGAGGAGGCTGAAGAGCGATCCAGCTCCCGGCTTCCAGCAAAGGATTCCTTATCGTGTGACATCTGAAAGTACGGATTCCACCCATCCCCGCTCCATGCCTGTGAGTGAACCAAGAAAAATCACAGATTCGTCACTGGAAAAACTACTTATGGTGAAGGAGTTGGTGCGGGAGGCAGCAGCGGTTCGATTATCATTCGGGCCAAGCTTCTCCCCCTTGGAGGACACGTACGATGACGTGACGGGCTGGGCTCGAGGCTGCTTCGGTGACGATCGGTCAGAGGAACTTTCCCAGAAGAAAGGGAAGAGGGAAAGAGGACTGAGATCTCGTCGCTCCTTTCTGAAGGAAAACTGTAATATATATCCATTCCAGCGAATGGCGTGCTCTTTTCGCCCTCCAGGCTTTTAAAGCTCTGGCATCAGACATTACTGATGTCACAATCGCCTGCTGCTGGCTGCTCCGAGCCTACTACAAGCTACCCTATTGGCCGGCCGATTGCGAGACAGAGCTGGGACTTTTTAACTATTTTTGCCTGAAGAATAAAGTCGTTTCTGCATCAGTCAGTAGTAGTAGTTTGAACAGTAGAGGGCTGTACAGCAGCGCAAGATTCTCCTTGCCCTTCCCGTGCCGGGAAGGGAAGGACGAGTCGGTTTTTTGTTCCCCGGAAGTCATCAGCAACGACGATCTGCTAGACTCGTACGTAGTTTAATCGAATGTGCCTGCAATGTTCTTCAGGGACCAATGTCGAGCTTCTGTGTACAACAATGTTCTACGTCGGTTTGCTGCTCAAACAATCTAGATGGAAATTGGCCCAATTTCAGGCATGTCCGGCACAGTGTACGGGAGAAGGTTGAGGGCCAAGTAGAACCTTGTTGAGAAGGTTGAGGGCCAAGTAGAACCTTGTTGTGTACACCGTATCAATGGGTGAGATGATGGTAGATGACAGGAAAGACGAAACATATTCTAATGATTGTGGACAGCACTCGTTGGCCGAGACTGTCGTCCTTCAGAATAACGGTTCTTTTCAGTAACATACATGGAGTGGAGAGACCTGAACGTACAGAAATGGCACATGCCCTTCTCTTTTGCGCAAATTCTACCCTTGAAACGTACGATGGCAGATGCCTCGTGGCACAATCCTATGAACCAAACTTGTATGCATGTAACCTGGAACCTTACACTAACCATACTGTTATGGGATATCGCGAGTAGGACCCACCGGAAAGTAGTGACACGAGGCAGGGTAATGGATGTGGGATGTCTTGACTGGTAGGATGTACTGAAGAATCAGAACCAGTTCTGACAGTTTGTCAAATGGTACTGAAAGCCTCGTCTGAGATTTAGTGTAATCTTGCTCACTCTGAAAGCTGCGCGTTACTCCAGACTCAAACTAGGACTTTACACGACAAACTATGGTTAGTGTAATGTTTACACTAGTACTCAACCCTTGTATCAGTACAGAGTGGAGGAGAAATCTGAATGTTTTAGTGTTTCAATCGTACTTCGACGGTGTGTGGAAGGGTATCGATGGTCTAGACGAATACATACACTTTGTAGATATTCGTCTCTACAAATGAAGTGGATTTGTGATATTAATCAAAATCTCAGATTTGTTGTATGCTGAGCTTGAAAACGGAGAAACATACAGCTGGAGATTAAGTTTGTCATGAGAGTTCTGAAAGGCCTTCTAATGCCGAAATGTAAATTTCGTAAGCGTAATGCGTATTCCTGACCTGACTGGCTGGTTGGAGGAGAGGAGGCAAGCAGAGCATCCTCGTATCTTTAACGTTTTGTTCGGTGTCAAAACGTTAGAAATACGAGGATGGAAGGAATGAGAACAGCGAGAAGAGGAGGAGGGCCCATCTTGCCTCTGTGGCACAGAAATGCACTAATAAAATCCCGGTCCTGCTGTGCTGCGGGAAACAGCATGATATCATTCGAACCTTCCGACCGACCTACCCTACGAACATGCTGCACTGCAAACGAAAGCAAGGGACAAGTACTGCAAGTTTAACTACTGTAAGTAGCAGATAGGTGATAAACTTTCGCTTGAAAAGCCTAACAGTCGTGCAGGCTGAGCACCTCTCTAACCCCTGTGTGTCTGACGAAAGGAACATTTTGTTGACCTAATATTCTGGATTTGTCTGCATCAACGCGTAGCCCAGATTGGAGTTAAAACTTGATCCGAGAAAGTGTCGAAGTAAAATGTGTTCCTGTCAAGGATGACTGAATTGCATCGGAATATTGTGGATGAAATACGAGTCGAGTACATAGACAGAGAAACATAGAGTTATGAGGAATGAGTGGCTACTCGTTAAGGGGACGAGGACGAGCGTAGGAAAACTAGATGCAGTACAGTGCTTAGATCTAACCTGAATGATTATCTTGGAAGGACGGGTTGCTTTCCTGAAACGAGAAGATGAGACGAGGGAATTGCTGGCGTACGATCAGTTGGCAATTGATCATCAGAGAAGATGCACTCATTACTTCTGACGTTCAGCCTTTTGTGCAACCAACGGACTAAGCCTCTGTGCTAGAGAAAGCAGTCGTCGCCCTTCCCCAGCCTGACATAAGAGACAGAGGAAGAGGAGGAGGACGAGGTGGAGGGCGAAGCGATAGAGGCATCCATCAGCCATGATATTAGTAAATGCTTTTTGTCCATTCCCTCCCTGTCCACTTCCCTCTCGCCCCCACTCCCACCACCCTTCATGCACATTTCTCCTACTCTCTTTGTCCATATAAAGCTCGTCTCGTCACCAGCTTAGCTGACACTTTGATTCTGTAACTTTCTCCAGAAAAAGGACGGTTATAAAGAGCAATCACCCTCCAAAGAAAGCTCATGGAGAAACACTTGACAGGTGAGTGCAAGGAAAAGAGTTTAGGTGGTACGTTGTAGAGCCCCATGGACAGATGAAATCTGGCCACACAATTTTACCATCACCACCACCTATGAAGGCCACAACTTCACCACCAGCTCGACTACAGAAATTGATCATATTTACAAGTCCAGCGGTCGCGCATTGGAGTTCAAGAGAAATGGATATGCGCTGCAGCGTTCCTCATGCGTCTGTGGGGTATGGATTTGGATACGTACAAGATATGTGCTAGTACCCGGTAAATGAACATAGCATGAGTGTGGGATGGTGAACTCAGTCCCTCTGTTGTTGCAGCTGTAATATATATTCTGACAGCATGGCAGTCGAAGTGCTTAAATGTTCAACGGAGCGGGAGGAATACTGAATGAAATGCTGCGTTTCCCAGCGAGAGCGGCGATTTCAACCGATCAAAAGAATTGTTGGCACATGAGAGGGAATTGGACAAGTGGACATTACGTTCGTTTCTGAGCCATGGGAAGGACTATAGTTTTGTGTCTCTCCTTGGTGGTGATCGCCATCTTTGTACTTCTGCCCTTCTGCTTCTCTATTCGCCAAACCAACCCAGGTACTCTCGTTCATGTCTCTCTTTCTTTCACTGCAACCGATCCGTCCTGGTGATGGGAGGCCAAGTTCAAGTACTGGACTTCACGTGAACGGGAAAACCTTGGAAAGACCACATTCGTTCAGTCACTTGCTCCCTCTGGAACATCTTATCCTGAAAAATGTGACAGCACCTCGAAGGGTGTTCTTTGGTTCCTGACGATTCAGAAGTTTTTTTCCCCTTCTACAGAACCTACCTTTTTCCTGCACTTCTGAGCATGAAATCTGTTCAAGATCTCTCTCCATCTGGAACGAAGTTCTCTTCATCCCAAAGATTCGTTCATTTCCACGTCTGTATGTCTCTCCGGCAAGAGTCAAGGTCGGATGTGTTGAGATGCAGCATGCCTGACCGACCCTGTATGTCTCTCCGGCAAGAGCCAAGGTCGGAAGTGTTGAGATGCAGCATACCTGATTGACCCTGCACTGCTCTGCTCTGATCTATTGTGATCTGCTTTGTTTTCAAGGTTGTAGCTTCTTAAAGCTCGAACTTTCACATCACATTGGATGGCCTTCCCTGTACCAACCTGATTGAAATTCAATTCTGTTTGGACTCTTCAGCTGTTTCCTGAGCTTGCAACCCACCACTACACGGTTCACCTTCTGTTCCAGATAACGATTGCCGGACGATTGACCAAGTTTGACTCCGACCTCAGCTGAACATTGCGCCATCTCTTCCCTCAGTTCTCCGTGCACGGATGAAGTGATCTAAATACTTTTATCCTTGAAAGAAACTCGAACGCCCATCGATTGTAGCTCACTAGTACTGCAATAATTTCAGCCGAAATCGCAATATATTGAATGTGTCACTCGGATGGTGCAGAGCCAAAAGCAGCAGCAGCAGCAGTCGAGGCTTCAACAACGGCGGTCATCGCGGCCAGAAACTCGGCCGCGAGCTCGAGCTCAAGCATGATGGGTATCCGAGATGTGAGAACCTTGTTCGGTGGCGGACCACATTCGAATCACTCACTTGGCAACCTTGATGGTGGAGGTGAAGATGACGAGAAGAAATCAGCCCGTGCCCAGGACTCGCCTGAGAGCGTTGCTTCCACGCAGGAGATAGTTCTGGACGGCAAGTAGTTCTCTCGGACACTGCACTACAGGATCTGAGAATCTTCGTGCACTGAATTAGTACAGTACCCGTACACGCACACCCACACCGATCTCAGCTGCATGGGCCGGTCTATGGTCTACAGGTGCATCATACTGCCATGACATACAGAATACAGTGCAGTATATGATGTATTCCTCAGTTCGATTCTCCCATGGACCATCTGGGCACCTCGCGGGCTGTAAAACGGTTCGTTCATCTCTGTGTACTCCGTTACATTAATCAGGGCAACTATTGAATTGAAACCTTAAATACATAATGTCAAATAATGTCATTATTTGTATCGTCTGTATATCCTCAATCCAGATCAAAGTAGACTAGATCCCTGTTAGAAGTAAACATATGAAATAATAAGCGGCCGGCATATGTAGGATGTTAATAGGATTCACTGGATGTTGGCAAGATTCATCATTCATCTCTTGGAGCAGTATACATTTCTATTTCTTCCCTTCTGGGTCAGTTAAGTAAGGACATATTGGTTGAAGCCATATGCTTCACGCAAATGTGCATTCAGCTGTGAGGAGACGACATTTCCAGCTCTAGTCAAATTGAGGTTGCAAAGACGGACTTGTGACTTTCCTGTCACCTGGTGCGTTTCAGTCATCTAAATTCACTAACTTTATACGAGGCTTCTGCTCGCCGAGAGAAGTAAAGACTCTCTCCACCCAGGTTGGCAGGGAAGTTGGGAGTAAATGAAGTGAGTTCTCTTTGGGAATGGAGGCGAACTAAATGAATTGGGTTGTTTCTTTCGTGTACTTACAAAAATTGATGTCTCCTGCGTTTCTAGAGACTTCAAACTTCCATGGGGTTAAGAACAGCCAAAATTATTGCTATGTTATTTCTGCCGAATCTCCGAAAAATTACATATTCTATTAAGCTGAGCAGAGCTTTTTGCGACGACGAGACACATTTTCAGTAATAGAAATGTTTAGAGCTCAATAGTGGAAAAAATCGTTGCGACGTTGATAGAGCTGAACCTGTTAATACCTTTCTTCGTTTCTTGATATCAATTACATTCAGCATCCTGTGAACATGGAGGCAATGAGGCGGAACAGGTTCCTGTAAATAGCATAAATGGTAGTGGGTACAAGAAACTAAAACGCAAGTGATTGCCACATAATATATTCCGAATCACTGGGAACGCTTTGGAAAAAAACTTGACTAGTCAAGTTAAGGAAAGGGTGTGTCTTGACTGAAACATACCTTGTTAGATGGTAAAGAAACTGCTCAGGTTCGGAAATCGCACTGCATATGATCGTGACTCAACCAACCAAACGAGCCTCCTCAGGCCGTGGGCGGAACGAAATTTAATTCGAACGATTGCGCAGTTGTCACCAGCCGGCTTCAATGGAGGAAAATTGGATTCTATTCGGGAGCACGCCAACTTAACCCACTTGGTTCAACTGCTAAAACCACCTGTTTTGACCTCGAATGAACCTGAAGCAAATGATATCCTGATGCAAGTAAAGAGAGGTACTGAAATTACGTCTAGTGTCAAACTCTCAGGAAACATCTCTACCTGTAGAACAAGTATTAGTGATGAAAAGGTTAAGATTGACCTCACACCACGAACCAATTACAAAGACAGTCTCACATAGGAAGCTTGGCAAATTAAGTCCAGTAAACAAAAGCTCCCACTAAAACGTGCTGAGCTTTTAAAGTGGACATGATGCAGACGAATTATTCTGAATCCAGCCGTGAAGCGTGTAAGAGTAAAAATAATTCCGAAATATATCGATATACAACACCATCATCAATCATTCTAAACAAGTCATCCTGTCTCAGCGGGTACGCAAAACCTGATATATTATACAACTGACCAGAAAAGATGTTGGAGACTCGTAGATTAACTTGTCAACGTCGCATCCTTCCCTTAAACCGTTTGCCAGTGGTAACTAGTTTCTTGCCTTTCGTGAGGCGTCTTTCACCAGCTTGTTGTTCCTCTTCCCCTTCCCCTTGGAAGGGATGTCTTTCTTGCGGTCATCTACATTAAATGAGACTCTAGAATGCCTTTTTGTTTGCGGTATTGACAACGAACCACGGCTGTGAGGGATAGTTCTGTACGAAAATAACTTAGGGCCAACATACTCCACAGATTGTCGGATCAAAAATGACGTTTTACTTTGCAACAACCGGGTCTTCATCAGCGATTTTGTAGCAGCAAGAGTTGCGCCGCGTTTTCTCTCTTTGCTTGCTTTTGCTTCGGCGTAACTTGACGGACTGGGAACACTTCCTGAGTCCCTCCGTACTTCGCGTTTGGTTACCACCTGCTCACGCTCTGCAAATGCTTTCATGGTTGTGTCCTGCGTCCTAACTTTCTTCTTTTTCTTCATGCCATCCTTCACTAGCGCTTTGGTGTCGAGAGCTGCTTTACGATCCAGACTTTTTCTTCTAGGATCTCCCCCCTTCCCTACAAGCAACCATCTGCAATAACATCGTCCACTATAAGTCCACAAGTATCTCCAGGAGCCCTTTTGACGGATAGAACAAAGCTGCGATGCATTCTACACACGCTCAAGTGTGTCCAATTTCATCCATGGAATAAAATAAACATAAGGCTCTTATGAAACTTCCCCACGAGTCCCCGTGACGATAAAGCATGGGCTGCATTCCAAGGATGTGGTAGGTCTGGATATCATGGTCTGCCCTGACCTCTTCCCTGAAAACTTGGTTACGAAACTTATCAGCTGTTAAATACAGCGGATAAATTTTTCTCTCACCTGTATGGAAAGTCTCTTGTACAGAACAGAACAAGGCTACAGAACATGAAGCAGCACAAGGAGCAGTCATCCAACTCAGCTTGAGCAAATGACATGCACAGCCAGTGCAAATCAATAAACGACTGTTAGAACTGAACTCGCCATGAGTCTACTCCAAGGAACCGGACTCTTCGTACAGCTAATGGGGTGTTCTTAGTTGTGCAATTTCAAGACTGCAGATTTTTTTTTTGTGCAGCTATTACTGGACATGTGGTCCCTACAGATGTCAGGTAGATTATCAGAAGTTGACTACTCTGGAAAAAAAACTATGTTGTTTGTCAGCCAACAACTGGTAAATGAAAAAGAACTCTGCAAATGCAGCCATATGACGGCCAGGTAAAGCTCTCGGGATTATCAACAACGAAAAAATTATGCACACGTTCTAGGACTTGTAATTCTTGTCAGTACTTACTCATCGTGATGTCGCAGCTACACTTTTGAAACTAAGAGAGATCCAACGAGGGCACAACAGGGGCATTCTTACCAGCACATCCGAACTACATACTTGTGAATGGAAAGATTCCATTACAAGGTGTTCTCTACGTCCACGATTTAACGTGAACACGACCAATTACCTCCACTTTCGAACTTTTGAAGATACCGTTCTAAGAGGCGCATATATGCGCACGTGCTCACATCTGGAAGCAGTGGGAATTTTAAAGCAGATACTCAGAATTTTTAACCATTATAGAAAAGGGTAAAGTTTAAGGCTCAATAGTCACTTGAATAGAGGGCATGACAGACGACCAAGAAATAGCACATTCAAGTGGACATAACAAGCCAGTCCAGCCACCAGCTGTGATCCCCGTGTTACTCACACCCTCCTGATCTGCGGGATCATGCCATATTGTACACAAAGAACGACCAAGTTCATAAAGGTACGAACGACATGGACATTCTAGCGTTTTGCATGGATTGATCTGGCTGCTTTCAAGTATAGGGATGTTCTGTCACAAGTACAAACATTTGAAAAAAGGGAGCAGATGTTTCCTAGGCTAGAGGGACTTACAGATCCCAGAGTCTGTTTTTCTTCAGCACATGATTTTCCAGCGCCTCGCAACACTACCACGTCACAGAAACATTGGTGAGTGAAGGTGTTTTATCTGCTACAAACGCTCAAGTCTAAGAAGGATGGAAAAGCGGAATATCGCAAGTATACAGCATACTCAGCACAGGTATGTTTAACATAAGGAGGGGGGAGACCAGTTCATGTTATCTGTGAATATGGTCTTCTTTAAGGGTTATAAAAAAGCGGAAAGTGTGTAGTATCCATCATTCTCAACAAAAGAATGTTTGTCACAATGATGTGCGGAGACCACTTCAGGTACGAAATCAAGAAATCAATTGCTTGTCGGGGAGAATTGGATACGACATTTACTTCTAGGAAACATCAATTTTGAGAAATCATCTCAAAATTGAGATCAGCATATTGAGACTACATGTACCTGTTCCCATGATTGTGTGCCAGGGCTGAGCGAAAGGTGTCGCCAGCAAACATAGTTTGGTGATTGTATTCTGTGTTCAACCTGGAAAAACTCTACATTGTCAGATATTCGTTGATTTTGATTCTTAATTATGGAAAACAGATATGCAGTTCCCTCTTTGTGAATTCATGTGAGTCATGTTGTCATGATAATCCTCTAAGAAGATACACGCATGACAGTTAAATGTCATATCCTGTACTTGTTCACAAAGCGAACTTACTGGAAGGCCCACTCGAATTTTAAGAATAGTGTGTCCAGATGCTTCATATGCAGCTTTGTAGTTTCCAACGATGTCAGAGATACTGCAACACAGAGTAGGAATCATCTGTGTTAGTGAAGATGCCAATTCCTCATAGTCTGTCGCTCACAAGAGGACTCTTTGATCGGGAAAATTTCTTGGGTAGACAATTTTCCAACTCCTGAACATTACGAAGAGAAGGAAGGCATCACTAAGAGGTGATGACCAGACAACTGAAGGTCCGAGGTAGGAGCAGATTCTGGGAACCTTTTTTCCCTATCTGATCGCTTGATAATTTCATTACCTGTTGAAAGTCAAATCCTTGTTCATAAGATCAGCCTGACGACTGATACCAAAAGCACCAAACTTGCCACCATACTGAACAAGAAGTACAATATGCTGAAACACCTGTTCCATTCAACACTTTTTGTAAGGGTTTAAGTTTGATGTATATTAACGTAATCAGACTTCCTGTAAACAACCACTTTCCCGAGATCGAAAAAGAACACCAGAGCTTTTTCTGGGACTTTCAGAGGACATTTAGGCCGGAGGATGAGATTCTTCTCGTCTCAAGACGTTAAAAGAAATTTGTGACACTAATGAAGTATTTACACTGAGGATGTAGAGCTCTATACTGAGCAAAGCAGAAGTCCGCGGATTTCATTCGACAACAAAGGATGATTCTTAAAAATCAAGTTGTCAGTGATTCCAATCAAGTGTTCAGATTGAAAACGGATTGTTCCAACGGCATTCAAGCCTACCTGTCCATTTAAGGAGGTCTTGAATCCCAAAGGTGTACGATCACAATCTGGGATACCAGCCTGAGTCAAAGCAGACACTAGTAAGCAGTAAGTAGAGTGAGATAGTCACGATGCAAGTATTGCTTAGATGAGGCAACACACTGGTGTCGCCCTGCATCCACCAATTATAAAAACATCAGAAGCTGAACGAAACTCAATCACTCAACTGAACGAAGGATCTACTCACAGTGAGGTAGAGTGCAAGAAATACGGCCTCCACACACTTTATCGGCTGTGGTGAGTAAATGATCTGACAAAAAGGACATACATCGACACCAAGTTCATGTTATGTGATTGTTGATATCTTCGAACCGACCTTCTCATGTCGTCTAGGGTTGGAAAACCAAGAGCCGTGATGGGATTAACGCAAGTTTTATGAGAATCATGAAGCAGTCCTCTCCCAACGTCATATATTGGTCACAATGTGCAATATTATATATTGGCAGCAGGAGTTATAGAGAGTTAGGAGACGGTACCATTCTAGCAGTGTCCATTATACGCGTCAGAGGTCGCAACTTGTGAGTGTTGAAGTGTGTCGCAGGAGTTTGCTTGTATTCAAATGATGATAGGAACTATCCTCAGGCAAACGACAGGCACAGATGGTAACTGAGTGAAGGGACTTCTATTTGCAACTCAATGTCCATAATGTTTCTATACTTCAAATATGATATCCTAATATTTTGTATTTTTTAATTGATATCAAAATCTACGAATTAAAGAATAAATAATTACTCTCGTTTAAGAACATCACAGCGAGGCTGACAAGTAAAGCACCTGCTTCACTGCCTTAAGTTTGGACCTCGGCACCAGCCTGCTGAAGTTTTCCGGTACGGTGGGTTTCTGGATCTTGGTTGAACACGGCTCCTTCTTATCACTAAGTGATGGCTCACCGGTGTTCTCGACTGCAACCGCATCCCGGGTGTTCATCACCTGCCGCCAATACCAAAGCAGTCTGACAAATTTTGTGATACGGCCATAGGCAAGTTACTCCTTTTCAATCGACCAAATAGCCCCGGGTGATCTAACAGCTCATCGAAATTCCTAATCAACCACACATATTTCCGTCTAACTGTTTGATTCTCTTCCCTGGCCGTCACAAGAGTGGGGTGTCGCTTTCAAGCCAGTTTTTCTGCTACTGCGCTGATCAGGGCTTAGTAATATTTGTGAATGTCTGCTTACTCGGTTCATGAGGACGGCTTCCCCGGGCTTCTGTTGAACTCGTTCAGAATTGGCAGTTGGTTCACTGTGACCAGAGAGAGCATGAAGAGACCTTAACCCTGTGAACCCTGGAGTTGTTTCTGCTCGACTCAGGTAGTTACAATTCGTATCAGCAGCTGAAGCCATCGCACTGCGCCCAATCACACGAGTGGGGTTCGTGTTACTTCATCAAAAGAATGAATAGAAGTGAGGTCGATGAAGATCCCACCCAGCTTGTATGATTTTGATAAATGCATGAAAGTGTGACGTCCGACACCCGCCCGATGACTATCTCAATCGACAAAGAGCATGATTCGAACTTCAAACCTCTCAAGGGTTCACCTAAATTAAGATGGGTAAATTCCTATTCAATTGCAAAATATTTTTAGCAATAGTCTCTGTAAGACGTGCATTAGAGACATCAGATTCCGATTTTTCGCTTTGTGAACAGAAGTGAGCTACATTATACCAGTGGTGGTCGAACGGGCAATCTTCTACTCCGTTCCATCGAAGTATTTATCAAGCCATATTCAGGAAGGACATTTTGCAGACATCTCAAGGACTTATTGACGTATTCAGCAGCTTCCCGATGTTCAAACTTACCTTATACCTGGCTGACATAACATCGTCAAAAGTCTGCAAGTGAAACAACTGCTAATCGGACCTCGTCTGCTTTCAGCTACATTTGCTCTCGCCGAAATTGAAAACAATCGTGATACAGGAAATTCGAAGTCTATAGGACGCAAGCAAAAAGCACAAAGAAACTGATCACGAATTTTTTCATAAAAACAAAATGAAATCCGCCCGTTAGTTTGAGGAGCGCTTTCCTCGGAACCAAAACATTGATGTTCACTTTGAGCAATTATTGCGCTGACGGTACTAGGAAGATTATACTTTTCACTCCGCCGTGTGAAGATTATACTACTCACGGAATTTTCCACGATCGATTTCTGTGCGTTCCAATCTCTATTTTGGTACGGGACCATTTACACTAACTACAACAAGCATGTGTGAAGGGTTTACACTAATGACACCTTTCTCTCAGTTCTCCTATCGCATGGTTGTTTCCAAATTTCGGTGAGAGCAAATGTGGCTGTTAAATGAACCCCAATAGTGTAAACCATTCATGTCAATCGTCAATCATCGCCTGCTTTTGAAAATTTTGCGGTCAAAAAATCTCAAGATTGTCACGGACCTCATCGACGTGGGACTCATTGGTGGTGACTCAGCTTGGTTGTAATAATCTTCCAAAGCAGCGGAAACAGCGTCCATTCTGACAAGGGTTTTGGAATCTGTGGTTGGTGTGGTCAATTCACGGCAAGGTTTTATCAGATAGATGAGACCGAAAACATTTCAAGAAGTGATCACTTCTCCCGCCATGAATGCAATCACAGCTGACCGAGCATCGGGGACCCTCCTCTTTCTATATCTGTTGATCTGCTACCGAGCGCAATTTCTCTCTTCGAATTCCGACCCTTCAAAGCACAGATGATGCGGCAGCAGCACAACATTCTAACCACCCAGCCAATTTGAAAGATCACTGGCACCACCTCCTGGTCAGGATATGATCTTCAACAGCGAGCTCACGAGTGCTCTCTCTCTCTCTCTCTCTCTCTCTCTCTCTCTCTCTCTCTCTCTCTCTCTCTCTCTCTCTCTCTCTGAGCAAAGACACAAAAGCAGCCGTCCGCCCTGTCCTCCGACCCCGCCCTCTCTAGCGTTCAAATCCCACCACTGTTTCGAATTCAAACTTTCGGAAAGCGACGAGACTAGAGCAACGAATGAATCGCCAAAGATTGAGGCATACGCTCACTCGACGCCGACGTCGTGCATCAAATTTAAGAATCAAGAAAGAAATCTCCAGGGACAGAGTCTGCGGACCCTCCCTTGAGTCCCTTCCTCCTGCAACTGCGCTATCCGTTGGATTACGACGTGGTAGTGTCGAGGGGACATGTTCACTGCTGGTTCGTCTTCAATTGCTTGTCCTACCATGGCACCCTGCCCTTCAGAGTTCACACCCCGTCACCCGTCACTGCCAATTTGCAAACCAACAGACGATCGAGACGCTAGTAACGCTTACAAAGCGGGATGGGGTAGGTAACGGAAATGGAGGTGGCGACCAAAAGGCGCGAGGGAAGGGTGTGAAGGAATGCAGTACGTACGTTCAACCGGAGAGGCAGAGACGGAGATGGATGGAGGAATTAGTGAACAAATTAAGAGCAGCAGCAGCAGCAGCAGCAGCGAGAAAGAACGAGAAACGAGGGACGGTAATGACGATGATGATGTATGCATGGCGCCGGCCTCCTCACCTCAGGAGGAGGCAGCAATGTTCGTCCATTCGTGGACTACGCGATGAAGGCCTGTTGGAGGAAGTTGTCGTCAAAGTCGTCGGCGATCGGATCTGAGACAGTGGTGATCATGCCCACGCACACACGCTCAGAATGTGCCTCCCCACTGTGATTTGGGTGAGAAAGTTCGCTCCATATATTTGATTCCAAAGCTCACCGGGCACGAAATGAGACCGTCTTCGATTACCGCACGCTCGTGGGCTGTGACTTTCTCAGCCCACCGAGTTTTGAGCAACAAAATGTGGCTTGGAATTTGTGAGAAGGAAGTCCGCGGAGGTCCAACTGGGCGGCCGGGTATGGAACAGACATGAATTTTCAAGCTACAAGGCATGGAAGAATACTTCTCAGTAAAATTCCTACCAGGTGAGAGCCCACTGAAAAGACACGGGGAGCCAGTAGTTTGCCTCGGAGCGGAAACGGAGTAAGAGGTGAGATGGTAGAGATCTTCCTTGCGAAGAGCGTGAGACTACATTGATTCCAACGTCTGTTGAACGTTTCCTCGGAGTGGTCGCTGGAGAATGAGTGAGTAAGATTTTCAAATGGTCGGTATAAACAAAATGTAAGAATGGAAAGGTGAGGAGGACGTGGTGACTGGGAAGAAAAGGAAGTGGAAATTTCTTGATTTGGAAATTTCGGATCCTCATTCCACGATGTCAAAGAAGAAAAAAAAATCTGAGGCACACACGGAGTCGCCCTCGGATGTGAATGCAATAAACAGGGAAGACTGCGATTGCCCGTGCCACTGGATGCCTCGGTGGATCAGGAGACCGAGGTTTATGAGGGGTTGGGAATGGGAAGACACATCTGCTACCCTTGCTGTGCTCACAGCTGCTGCTTGTACGGTCGTTGCCTTCAAAATGTACCAAAAATCTCTTCTTGAGAGATAGTCTTGTTCAGCTACCGAGCGACTAAATTGTCAACCAGGGTTTGATTGACGAGGAGTAGGAGGGATCTCTACCAATTGTTATTGCAATTCAGACTGCAGTTGTATACATTCCTTAGCAAGCACCTCGATACAGGCCGCCGAGTAGAAAATGTGACTTTGTTCTGGTGACTACAAATTATCTCTAAAAGCCGAGAACAACGGAGGAGCCAGGGACCTCGCCATGGAGGTCATGCGCAACGAATCAGGGACTGCGTCTGACCGAAATCTCCTGCAGCTAGTAGGGAAAAGTATAGTACCGCCGGAAAAGAGTGTTCTACATTACTCCAGTCTGGAGTAGCTTGACATTTACGCTGGAATAAGCTTTGAATCATTGACAGAGAAAGCGCGCATGGCACATTGTACCGATCTTCGCAGAAAGGAGACCGTACTGCGTTATCCACCTTGATGACCACTGGAAGCGAACACCGAAGTAGACCATGCCAGCGACCCAGACATGCAGTAAGGGGCGATTACTCCAACCTCTACGATGTCTTGTTTTCGTTGTTGCACTCGCAGAGCGCAGCAAGACAGAGCCAACGACGAGGACTCGGAAGCTGCAACTGGAAATCAACCAGTTGTAGTAGCTATAAGTATAAATGACAGTAATGGAGAACAGGAACATGGGACAGGAATTTTGATCAGTGATCACTTGGTTTTGACGAGCCACATGGGTCTTCCCAGCAGGGAAACTGCCCGTGACGGACAGATTGTGCTGAGTAGTGTTGGGTCAAGCAATAGCACGCCAAACAAGTGGCCTTCGTCTTCCACAATCTTGACAAGGAAACTTCTCCCTCAGAGGTAAGTTATCGTAAGTTTTTCAATCGAAGTAATTTTAAAGAAGAAGAGAGCTTGTGTTAGTTGAGAGCGCACTATCTGACACTGGAAGTATCGTTCAAAGTTGGATCTTCATGGAGATTCTCACCCCATAATTTTACGCCGTATGAGTTTGCTAATTATTCGAATGACCTATCTCCATGTTTACTTTAAAACAAACAAACAAACAAATATCTACAGCATATAGCTAGAGCAAACAAACAAATAGCTAGAGCTTGTAAGCTCTGAAGCCACCTAGAGTTGGAACATGAGAAGCATGAGGACGACTTTGCTTCTTAGCGCCAAGATGTATCAGCCACACCCAAGCAGATTCAATGATGGTCACCATCGAGATTATAGACTAGCATTGGCTGATGGTTAACATATTGCAATGCTCTCCTGCAGATTATTTCTCACCAACCCTTCTCTTGGGTTGACAATCGTGGCCTGTGAGCCGGTGACTTCCAATTCGCCTCCCAGAGAATACGAGATCCCCAAAGCATCGGACGATGCACTAAAACTCGGATGCAGCGTCTACGTTTTGGGACAAGTTCAACAGGATGATCGGGAGGGTTTGCTTATGTTTGGGGAAGGGCTTATTTCGAAAGAAGACGAGCAAGTAATTGAATTTTACTCCTTGGATAGCTATGTTTGGGCACCTGGATCAGCTGGCTTTGATGCGAAAGGAACTTTCGCCTTCGTGGTTGGGGATCGACGCCCATCCACGAAAGCAAGTTGTCCATTGCCTAAGAGATGGTCTTACGCTTTGAGCAAGGGTCCTGGTTCGAGGCAGCCGGGAATTCTGATCCACTCAGTACGCGACTGGACAAAGGACACATGGAGTGGGGACTTCAACACCCTACTGCAGCTAAGCAACTCAGATCTCGCAACTGCAGACGACACCTCTGACCTTGAGCAGAAGGCAGAAGAGGAGAGATTGATAGAACAGCAGAGGGCACTAAGTAAGCGAATTGATGAAATTCAAAACTCCATGAGGGACGACCGAGAGCGTTTGTTTGCGGCCGCGGGTCCACTTGGCAGAGCACTCGTGGCCAATCTTGGAGCGATAGATACCAGCCTCCAAGGTTGTGGAAACAATTTGTATGGAGCCACGGACTCAACCTCAAAGATTTCGAGTTCGAGGATACAAGAGATTCCGGTCCAGGCCTGCTTGCAATCTACACCAGGTCCTCGTGTTGTTCCTTGCAGCAGTGCTAGTTCTAACACCCAAAGCCTCTCACTCAGAGCTCAGAGTCCCCCTCCACTGGGAGGTATTGCTGCTTTAGCGGCGGAGGAACTCGAAAGGTATGACGATGACGATGACAGTGACCATGTTGCAGACATAGCAACGTCAAGCAATTTAAACGCCAACTCTCCAGTCAAAGACTCTGTTCGGGAGTTTGCTTGTGATGGAGCGCCTAGTTTCGGTAGTCCACAACACGAACCGAGAAGTCCTCGCAGCTGCTGGTTTTCTGCGTGGTGGAAAAACTTTAGGCCTAGGTCCCCTCAGTCGCAGCCACAAACCCAGCGCGTGGAAGCTGTTGCAGACTCTGTAAGAGCTGAACAGGCGAACGAGGAGGTCATGGCGGACTGCCTCGAACCCAACTCTCCCCCTCGACGTTTTTTGGTGCGGGGAACTTATACCGCAACACCTAAGAGAGAGAACTCCAACATACTAATAGCTGAAGCGATGAGCTCAGCGTCCTCACCAGACAGGTGCTCTTCGCCAGAGGACATGACTCAAGCTTTCCAGCCAAGGAATCAACGTCCATGCAAGTGTATTCCCCAAGCATGTTCTCGACCCCTCTCTCCAGAATTAGCGTACTTACAGATCCACAGGTCTCCAACCGCGATGTGTCATCGGCAGACCGACATTCCCTGGAAGCCTAATGGAGAACTGGATTCTCGAAGGATTTTACCTCCTCCGGATCCTCCCAGAGTGATCACCGGTGTGGCTCGTACTCGAACTTATCCTCGAGATTATTGCCCTCCTAGATCAGAAGATGAACAGGTGAAGCTCGACGAAGCGGGCGTGCGAAAGGTTAGAACTTGCACTTTTCTTGAATTGTTGAAATATTTCATTCCTCTACGATGCGTTTCAACGCTAGCTTTTCTGATAACCCTCATAGCCGTCTCGAAATTCTTGGAGCCAGGAATATTTGACTACTTTCGAGGTTATAAGATGTGGCGTGCTTTCAGTTAACAACTCCGCGATATCAGACCAGACGTAAACTTCCTTGCTATCTGTTACCAAGCTTACAGCAAGCGTTTTCATTGTGTCTGGAAACCCTCAATCGCGGGTCAAGCTCTCTTGGATTCAGTTGGACATTTGGAACCTGCCAAAACTAAAGATCTCCTGCCTTTGAGTTGGAAGTAGATCCCTTCCACTGCGAGACTTCAGCAAACGCAGCTTTATCGCGATACCTGCACTTTGAAGTCAAGGTTTGTGGATAAGGTTTTGGTAGGTGCTTTCTGGCTTCGGTGGAACAGAAAATCCGGTATCGGCCTTCTTCCCATCAATCTACTGATGTGCATGCGAGAAGCTTGCGAAGGTAATTGTGATGAAGTACGATCTCACTTAATCGCGGTAACGAAGCTGCCCGAGTCTCGTGCTTACCATCCTTAACAGCGTTATCCAGAAAATGTTGAGACTCAGATGAATGACAAACCCAAATCACAGGCTCTGAATCCTCGCTGTGATCCTTGCCTGGCAATGCGCTATGACGGGTCCATTCTTCATTCTTTAGACCCAGCAGTAAGAAGTGACGTCAGCCCACATAGCATCTGTTATGATCACAGAAGTCAGCTTGGGCTCCAGATCGTTTTCCATTAGCGACCAAACAGCGTTTCTGAAATCTGAAAGAGTAAACCGTAACTCAAGAAAATCAAAGAAGGAAGACAGACATCGAGCTGAGATTGTCCCTCGCGATTGCGATTGAAGGTTCCTGCAGGTCTGGGTGCCTGTGAGAAGGCGCAAGAACTGTCGTCACAGCCACTCGATGCCACGATTTTACAAGACCGCATCCTTCAGAGCGCAATCTCAGATCCACCATCACCACGGGGATCATGTCAAGAGAACGAAAATCTTGATACCGAATTGAGCAGCTGCCCTGTGGACGACTCATCGACGACAAGGCGCGAGGTCCCGGAACATATTGGCAAGATCTCGGCCTCTGCATTGACATCGAGGCAGGCATCTAGGCGAGAAATCGAGATCACATGCTTCCAAAGATGGAAGAAATGCGCGACTCGAAGGAAGAACATGGCCGTCGAGTCGATGCGATCATTCTTCGCCCCTCGTCCGCTCTCTTCTTCGTATTCTTCTCCTCCTCCTCCTCCAGCTTTCACAACACTCTCCCGAAGCTTCTCGCCAGCTCTAGACTTCGTCTCCCGTCTAGAATCGACGTGGAGATCGTACAAGTTGGAGGAGCGTGCGCGTGCGCGCCAAGCGGGGGCCGCGGGGCCGCGCGAAGAAGAGCGTTACGCTCCGTACCAGGCTCCGATGCCCAACTGGGCAGCGAAGCCGCGGACGCTCCGAGACGAGCCCGCGTATCTTCCAAGCGCTAGACAAGCATTCGTATACGGAGGACGAGAAGACGCGACGGTCGCTGCCGTATCCGTAGAAGAAGACGGATCAGCAGCAGCAGCAGCAAATGCTGCAGTGAAGATCTGGAAGGGATCGTGCATATCCTCTCTCGATCACCAGCCTGGTCGTGGCGATGATCGTGAGCCTGTGGCCCGAGCGCGGAGTCATCCATCAACTGCTGTTGAAGACGCAGGTGCCAGAGGCATGGTGGCAGTTTCGAAGAAGGAGAAGACAAATCAGCTGCTGCGAAAGGAGAATGGCATTCAGAGGCCTCGATGGTCCATTGCCAGGGTCGATCAAGGTCCTGTCGTTGTGGCCTCCATGTCTGACCCGCCGGATGATGCGACTCGAAGCAAGTCGAAGATGAAAAGGCTGCCTGTGCTCAATACTGGAGGCCCTGGCTGTGAACCCGGGGCCATCCCCCATACAGTCAGGAATTCTGGAGGAGTTAGAGATTTAGCAAATCCGCCGGATGTCTCCAGATGCGCTCTCAGAAGGGCAAGACGCGAAGAAGGACATGTACCACCGTCTCCTTCGAGAAGAAAGCACGTCAACACGTTTGCCAAACCCAAAACCTTCACCAAGAACTCCGCCGCGGATGAGCACTCAACATCCGCAACTAAGCAACCTTTGAGAGCCACCAATAAGCGATTGTTAGAAGGCCCTATCGGGAAAAGAGGATCAAGCGTCGGATCTGGCTCGTCCTCATCAGAAAGAGAGGGGCGTCCCCGTTGGCGATGTCCGTAACTCGCCCTCTGCTCACCCAGATTTTACAATTTTGGAAATCAGAAGGCAGATCCTGCACACGTGAAAGTAGTCCCGGTCTTCGGTGTCCACCGTCCACTTTACCACTAAAGGGCTACGAGCAGCAAACATATATTCAGAATCGAGCTGGTTCTGTTCAGAAGTACCAGATGATACGGTGCAATATACGTTTAATTTGCGTGTCAAAAAGAGCCCTGACGGTGGTGGAGAGTTTGTCAGGACTGTCTATGTCACTATTCGAAGCTGAAGTGTATTACACACACATGAAAATGACAAATTCTTATTTGCTTGAAAGTGGTGTTCGTATACTTCTGCTTCTGGTTATTCTTCTGACTCGAGTAGAGGAAGCACGCAGTTTGACTAAAAGTCCTCGACTGTGATCATGGCAGGAAACATCAATAGCAGGTACCATTGAAAGGCGTCGTTTATATTTTTGACTGACCTCCGAAGTTTTGAACAGCATCCCCAGCAACTGCCACTCAGCGAGACTGCTGATTTGCAGAGTATCGTCAGGTTATTTTCCACGTTCCCCAAGAATTGCACCCAACATCAGTTCTGACTTTAAGTATATTCTTTGCAATTTTTCGTCTACACTAACTTCAATAATTCCTCATAATAGATCATCAATACAAGAAGCTCTCTGAACTCTGGAATGAAGGAAAGTTGTAAGAGCTATGTTACATGGCGAGTAACTCTTAATGTATCCTCATAAGGACGATGTGCCCATTTCTTCAATGCACACAGTGAGATTGAGCATGGTAGATTTGCTGTCAGCATGTTACAAAAGCATACATACTTTTGTCACGGTGAGTCACATTACTGTCTTAAATCAAAAATCACTTCTCTGAGACCAGACGAATAGCTGGGGATTTGTGTCTGCAAAGATGGCTTTGGACTTGACGCTAAAGGATCGATGGTTTTCGACAGAGCATGGAATTTCACACGAAAAAAGGAAGTTTGTCAAAGAAGACAGATTCTTGTGAGGAACTTGTTATTTTCAACGTGGGCGGTAAGCTCTTTAAAGGGGATTGTCTTCACAGTCCAAGGCCACAGCAAAGCTTGTTCAAAACACAGCTACTGTATATGATTCTTTGAAAGAGAGCATGAAAAAGGTAAGGCTAGATAAGGAATCTGTATGTCGACTTCCTTGCAACTGGAAGACTTGTAAAAAATTCAATTTTGATAACATGGAGAAACCTCCCTTTATATATACTCAATTCAGCACGAGCTGTGTGGTGGAATCCGTTAAGATTCGTTGTAACAATTCGAGCTCATATTCGTCTCACCTACTTGGAATCATTTTGCCCTGCAATTGCGACGTTCTTGGACTGGCGGCCCATACGACACTGCAGCAAAAGCACCAGTTTCCAGCTTTCATTCCGCACATGTTTCAGAACACGTTGTAAAAACCCGCACGACTATCACGAGCCTGGAAAACACACTCTCTTGGTCAGCTGACAATAAGGTACAGTACAGTAGGTGGAGCCTAGCTTCCCCTCGTTGTCAGACGATGAGCACTGACCCTTTGGATAAGTGATTGTACCCTTTTGTTCTGAATGGATAGAGAGGAACCAAGCAATGTGGCAAAACGGATGAGAAGACCCATTCAAGTAGATCATGGATGAAACCAAAAAGGGAGGATGGGTTTATTCCCCGATACGGAGGCCTCTCTATATAGGGCGGATTCCTTATGTTCCGTATCTCAACAAAATAAGGATAATTCTCAAATCAAAATACGGAATATATTGAACTTGATAGTTTTCGGCCCAATTTTGACCTAAACTCTCATGTTTTCGGCCGAATTTGTCTGCAATGTAATACACCTTCGAGAAAAATGGTGTTATCTTTTATCTCTGAATATCCTTTTCCCATTTTAGCATGGAGAAGTCACTCTCCACACCGTTGAAGTGTTCAAAAATGGTGAAACTAATACTACAAAAAACTCCATGAGTTGAAGAAATCTATTCTTAAAACCTGGAATCAACAGATTTTTGTGCACCTAGAACATGATGGTCTGGGTTCACTATTTTATATATGTACTTTTGTTTCCGAGAAAGTTTGAGACTATCTTGATATTTTAAACTAGTTGAATAATTTTTTGTGTTTTCAAAGCTACAAGTGAATGAGATAACCAAGGAAACAAAGTACTAGAACTTGGTTTAGCTCATCAAGTGTCGCCGCAATGTTTTAATCAAGTACTCGGTTAGTTTCTCTAGTAAGGTAACTATAATCAACAAGGTTAGTTTCTCTAGTAAAGTAACTATAATCAACAAAGAAATTGTCACAAAAGATCACGACAAAGATTTAGCTGAATATTTACTTAAGTTTCTCTAGTAAAATCACCTACATCAACAAAGATTTGTCATAAATTGTCACCCCAAAGTTTTGGTTAAGTGACTGTGTTAGTTTCTCTATTAAAAACACACAGACAACAAAGACTTTTTGTTGGAAATACGGAACTTTCTGAAAACGAAATACCGCACTTTGGCCCTCAAGTTCCGTATGTGCCGTATTTAGAGAGGCCTGCCAATACGTACTGCTCCGTCCATCCTGTCTCGACTAATTAGGTCTCATAGTAAAAATATTAGATAAGCAACCTACACAATATCATTTAATATGAACATCTAAATCTTCTTATGTTTTAAACATTGCATCATGCTTTCCTCTATATTTAGCAGTGTGTACCCTTAATTTAAAGTAAAACTTTTTATAATCCCATGTCAACATAATTTCACACAATGCCTCATAGACCTCGTCAAAGTCTCATCTATACTTACATTATAATATATCATGGACTTGTACAAACAAGATCAAGGTTGGGAGCGGTTATTTATCCTCACTTAGGGCTAATCATCACTCTCTTAGTTTGGGAGCGGTTAGTTATCACTCACTTTGGCCTAATCATCACTCTCCGAGGTTGAGAACCGCTAGTTATCTCTCACTTTAGGCTAATCATCACTCACCCTACTATAAGGTCTGATGTGATTGGTCGAAGGTTATAACTACCATCGTGATGAGTTTATGGTACTTCTAACATGGCGTTAACATTGACGGGATCTTGTTTGATCTACATAAAGGTTAGCCTGTTTCCGGTGGAGCTCTGCCTGCTGCCGCGACGCGGATCAATATCATTGAGTCCGGTTGTCGACCATCTACTTGTTGCTGAAGTTTTGTTGGTATTCACCATCCGTAGCATCTTGCAAGACCTTGAGGAAGCACAAGGTCCATTAATCGCTACTTCGGCGCGATCGGCTGGCCCCGTCGCGAGGTTCGTTCATCACGCCTCATCTAAGTAGTGGCAATTGGCTGAACTGGTGTCCAGTGGCATTTGCCTCAAGACGTTGGATGATTTAGCAGGATCCCTAGCCAAGCGTTCACTGCTAATTCTTGATTTTACCTTCCTTTGAACTTTTCACGAGCCATGCGTGACTCGTTTCATGCGTCCAGGCCTCGTACATGCCCTTCCCTGTCCTAACATGTCATGTCATCGTCATGTTAGAAGTTGTACCTGCTCCTTGCTTAGCATACTGAGGGATCCCTCCGACTGCTTTGATATTGGTCTGCAAGCTACGGAACTCTGGGGTTGGAGAATTGTGTCCTTGAGAGAGAAAAAACACAAGTGCGAGAAGTTGTTAAAATCAGATAGGGGCGAGCACGCGAGGGAAGGAGCCGATTAATAACCATGTTGTATGGACTGGAAATCCATCCCATTGGCAGCTATAACCTTCGATTAATCACGGCAGACCGTATAGTAGGGAGAGGTATGATTAGTCAAAATTGAGTGATAACTAGCCGCTACCTCAAGGTTTTGTAATACCCCAAAAATGTAATAACAAAGTATTTACCTTTGTATAACTTTGAAGCTTGTAGATTATAGCTGCTGCCACCCCACTATCAACGAGTATGAGTATTCAGTCATTCTCATGGTTATTCTTGTGATGATTATTAATCACTTGCAAGTAGTGTCAGCTATAAACATGTACCAAAATGTGTGCACAATAACTTCAAACTCTTGAATCAACTTGATACTCTAAATCAAATATATAGAAATACAAGTTCTATTGGACTTTAAACTAACACTGATTCCATGAGATTTGTACATATGACCAAAGATTATATAGATCTTTTTTTATTCTAACATGGTGTTTACTCATTTGTAATTGTGATACTAGTTTTGTTTCTCACTTGTGAAAAATGAAGTTGCAAGTGTGGATGAACCTAAGTTGTTCTTTTATATATATAGGGCATAAAGTTGCAAGTATTTGTTCTCAACTAGTTATATTTTGTCTACTTTTTTCCTTCCTAGTGTTCATCTTCCTTGTTGCATATACAATATGTGGTTATTATGATTAATAAGCTTATATAGCACATTGATACAAACTTATTGAATAGAATGTACTCTTTTTACAAAAATTAATTTTTGAGACACCAAGAAATAAAGATTTTTCAGGATCAAATTTATATTCACACTCCATTCCAACTAAAATATTTCAATTGAAAGTTTTTTTAAAGAAATTGTAAACACATGAAAAGAGAATATAAGTAGCGTTGAGGTAATAGTTTTCAATTTTGAGGTTGATGGAGGCTAATAAAAAACCCATGATAGGGTTTATGAAAAGGTTAAGCTTGTGAGAAGTCTACGTGAGATAGTCAATTCAATCAAAAAAAAATTGCACAAGAAATATTTTGGCAATAGAAGTTAAATATATTTATTTTATTATTTATGAATTTATAAAATTCTCACTCATATATAAAAAACGGAATATGAATTTTCTTTTTAATTAAATGTAAATCATTGAATCTATTTTTTAACATTATGATATTCTTTGATAACTTTTTAACTTGTACAATCTTATAAATATAATATGTATATAGTATAAATTACTTCCATGCATATTATATGATAATCAATATTATTAAAAAAGTTACTTTCATACTATATGTTATGAAATTTTTGAAGAATTAAGAAAATATCAATCCAACTAATTTGTATGATGAGGTTCAACTATGTTACATTTTTATTTCAAATTTTCAAATAATTTAATTTTAAAAACTACAACCCAATTTTAAATTAAAATTTTAAAACCAAAACATTTTTTTACAAATTCATAAGAAATCATCAGTATTTATTATATAAAATACTGAAGTTTGGAAATAATTTATTCTACATTGTTATTCAAATATGTTTATTTTTATTCAACTATCTTTTCAGTTGAAAATAGTATTTCATCATTTCAATTCCATACATGATATGATAAGTATATCTTATCATTGTAAATATCGAGTCATGAGATTATCACAATTGATCAAAATCTTGAATGTTTTTTTTAAGACTACTTGAATGTAAAGTATGTTTTTTGAGTTAAATAATTGTCTTCTAAATTCCAATTACATAGACTTAAGTTTTCGCAATGTGATGAATTTGAATTTTATTTTAGTTTATGCCACATTTTACACCAAAAATTTCTTTAACAAATTCATAACCTATCAGTAACTTGTACAAAAATATGGTATGCATTCAAGTTGATGTGGTTGCATGGAGTCTTCTATTACATGTTACTGACTTGTCTCATTTGACAAAATATCAAGAACGTTGCATGCAGGTCATTGGTTCTTTTGAGGAGGAAGGGAATGGAATGGAAGTTACTCTCTGTCACCAGAATGGCACTATTTCCACCTCAAGTGAGGACACTTATTGGACTGCAGAACAAGACTATGCCAAGTGGCCAAGTGCGATGAATGTGGGACTGCCACGAATGGAAAGACTTCACAGAAGATTGTACAGTACGTGTTCGCGGGCGTACAGTACAGTACAGCAGCTCTGTCATCATGTCTGATCCCCACGTCCTTTAGGCCGAAAATATCGGTCAAAGGTAACGTATCTGGAATTTGGCAGCTGAGCTTCCGCGGAGCTGCTGCATTGGGAGCAGCTCCAACTTCTGAAGAATGGCGGGCGGAATCGGAGGCAGACAAACGAGGCGATGGTCGAATTCTTATCGGCATGCTCTCTGCGTTCGGAGTCGGTTGGCGCAAAGAATGGCTCGGAGAAACGGAGGCTCGGACCTTCTGGCTCGCGGGATTGGGAGCTCGCGCTTCTCTCGGCGACCTCCCTTGACGAGCTCTTCTATTTCGCTTTCCGGATGTTCGGACAGGCGGCGGAAAGATTGAATTGTCGCTCCTCGCTTTCCACATGTGAAGTATGGAAGGTATAAGATGGTCCAGACGCGCGCTCTTTTCTCCGAAGCTTGATGACGGGGTCGTTGGCTTTGCGTGAGGGAAAGTTTCTGCCATGCATGACATTCGCAGAGCCCGAATCTGATCGGAAGGTTTGCTTTTCTCTCCGTGTGGCTCTGTAGTTGTAGCGTAGACTTTGTGGGAGGGGAGATTTTTTCTGTGCATTAGCCTCGCAGACCTGTCGTAGGGCCCTTCTCGATACTAGACTTAAGAATGCAGCAGTACTCATTGTCCTTGATGCAGGAGTTTCTCTTAGTAGTCAAATTATACGTCATGAGTGCTTCTTCGTACGTGAAAAGCCAGCGTACTTGCACACTTGTCTCAAACTTAGGAGGCAGTAGAAGATGACCTTTGAAGGTGTAATTCGTAGGCTCTGATAAAAGGCGTCCCCTCACGCCATCCCTGTCGGGACTCCAGAGTTTGACTGGTACCGCGGTTTTCGTTCGCCTCGGTCAAGGCTACGAGTCTCCTGCCTGGGTTCCTGGGTTCCTTCGTTAGAAGCACGTAGTCAGCTTGAAACAGCAAGGAAACTACAAAAGCGAAGTTTCTATGCGCATCATTTTTCCCCTAGAGACAGAGAGAGAGAGAGGATGGGTTGGTGGGTATCTTAAGTGTTGCAATCCTGCCGAATTAATGATACTTTTTGCTGCCGGAACTGCTCACTGCAGAGTACACGAACGAAAACGTGAGTCCGTTCCTCATGCTATGAGTCTTTAAAGACGTGCAAGTATAGGCCCAATATTCGCATTTGGGATAAAGTAATTCCTTTCACGCAGTCGCCGTAGAGTCATTCCAACTTGTCTGGGCTATAAAGCTCTCTTTCAATCTCTCCCTCTGTCTCTCTCTCAACCGAGAATTGCATTGAACGTCAAATAGCTCGGTGTGCTCAAGGGCAGGGCTTGAGTCAGCGAAGATCAGATGTAAGTCGGGAAGTTCTCCTGGTCGAAAATATCCAGGTGAGAACAGTAGACCTGATCTGTCAACGAATTACTTTTTCAATGTTCGACTGTCGAACTGAGATCTTAGACGAAATGGAACATAGACGAGATTCCGCTCGGGTTGTGCGATTGATCCTTGATAGAGTCGTCCGAACCACGAGCAGATCCCTCCAGACATCTGGAAAACCTTTGATGAGACTGTGTTAATTGTATCGAGCTTGTGATGTGCGACAAGATATGTTGTTGCGTCTTACGATAAATTTGTAGCTACACCGCTGGGATCACAGCGCTGTCTTCTAGATTGGTAGTCAATGGAATACTTGAAGTTTTCTCAGCTAGTAGGCTCTGATAACTAGCTCATCATCCTGGTGATAAGCTATGTTGGATTGTCTCTTCGAAATGAGCTGGTCATAGGCGGTTTCCGCTGCTGATGACATGCATAGTCCACAAGATTTTCTCGCTACGAAGGTTTCAAGATGACGATGTTCTGACCGAGTTACTGTCTTTGCAGCTGTCCCGGGAGCTTCGGCAGCCTTGAGATAACGACTAATTCGACTTGGAAGATCTGAATACCTGGACTTCCTTGGCACTAGGCACAGCGATGACTGCAGAAGGGAACCCCAGCGAGACCTCGTCAAGCTCCACCCAAGAAAATCAAGGATCACCGCAGATCATGGCCACAAACGAGCAGATACCAAATATGAGCGAGAACAAAGTGGGAGTTACCAAATGGCGTGGAGGTATTAAAATGGTCATAAACTGTTCAATCGAAAAGGCGTGGGATACTAGTGCTGAATTTTGCGGCCTGCATAAATGGGTAGCCACTACTGACACTTGTGAGTGTATTGAGGGCGAACCTCAAGTACCGGGCTGTGTGCGCGTTATGACCGGCAATTCGTTCCCAAGAGCAGATGGAAACAAGTCTTATGCCAAGGAGAAGCTTTTGACGTTTGATAATGAAAACCGCAGCATGAGCTACCTAATGATGGAGAACAATTTCGGACTGAGCGAGTACATAGCCACCTACAAAATGCAGGATTTGGGTGGTGGAGCTGTCCTTGTGGACTGGTCGTTTGAAGTGAACCCAATTCCCAACTCCACTGAGCAGAAGACCGCTGATTACATGACTGGAGTTTACAAAGACACTATGAAGAAACTTGAAGCACTTATAAACTCACAGACGAGCACGCAGACCACTCATGTCAGTCATCAAGGTGGCGATTCCCTTCAGGCTTCCAGCAAGGAGACTCTAAAGGACGAAAAGCTGGAAGAAGGCAAGCAAGTATAAGCTCTGGACCCGGATGTCCCAAATCTAATCTCGAACCGGACAGGAGAAGAGAAGCTGTCGTTCTGGTGGAAAAATGTTATAACTTCTCTGTGTATTGTCATGAAGGTGATCCTCATTTTGTATCATATTGCACGTGCCTTGTCATTGACATCAGCTTCAGGTTCGAAAAACAGAGCATATTATAGCAGTCTGCCAAATCGTTCTTATTCTGTACCCACTACATGGAATAAAGAGCACAAATAGTTCTCAGAATGGCTGTGCGACTTACAAGATGAAGCTCACAGGCCTCATTGGTGTGTGTTTTGAAATATCTCCCTCACTGGTTAGGGAGCATTGCGCTCGAAATATGCTGATCGAAGTCGAACAATCAATTTGATACGATATATTTTTTCCATTTCAACAAGTGTGATGGTTTCGACATCCTGCTCAGGTGATACACATGTACGGTGTATAGCTATTTTCTTCATCCAGTTTGAGTCTTATGCTTTTCTCTACTTAACAGTTCCATGTCTGAACTGACTTTGAACTTTACTGATGCCTATTGAAAGCCCCATGTTGTGGGTCATGGATGCAGTACTGTCCATCTTGCTCTTCATTTTCTTGATCCTACCGTATGGCTTTTGGTTCAACACAACTCACTTAGAATACCCGCAAATGTCTTTCCACTGTTGTGTACAATAAGCGTCTGCGATTTGTCTACATTAGGCTTATCATCTGTCCTCCGTTGCATACTCTGTTTACAGGTGCAGGTAATATTCGTGTCTCCATGACTTCTCTATTCTTAATTTTTATTCATACTTTGAATGTCTGCTTATTATAGTTCAAAAAAACGAAGGCGCGATTATCCTTTGCTGTGCACTGGCGTTTCTACTGCCCAACTGGCGGTGATGAACTCAATGTGGGAGCGGTGCTATCTGGATGCTCAACACTGCGCTGTTGTCAATGTTCTGTACGACTGACTGACTCACGCTGTCTCTCGCCTAAGCACTCGGGGATTGCCCCAAAAAGGTCTTGACTGAGTTGCGCCCAACTGCAGTTTTGGCTCGTTCCTGGACCTATGTTCACATCATCATATAAGTCCATTTTGCACAGCGTGAATCTTGGTAACATTCTTGAGAATAGACAGAATATTGGTGATTTGCAAAACATCATGATTGTGGTTGGAGAAGTCCTCTTCCACTTCTTAGAGAATGTTTACATATTTTTAAAAAGGGCAATTGTCATATGCTATTTATTTATTCAGTTCATTCCATTTTTGCATGCCTACCGGCACCTGCAATACTAGTCCTCTCTTCTTCCATGAGTATTTCAACTCATTGATACCCTTTCTTCACTTTCTGATAAATATCATCTCCATATTTGGAGCCTGGCATGATTGAGGTAATTGATTCAGGCTGAAGGACAACAATTTTTCGCTTTGCAACAGGTTCCTGATCGGTGTGCGTGTTTCACAGCTCAGCAAAATGCGTTTAAAAACCTCTTGTTTGATTAATTCTATATTTATTAATACATTTCTTCTATATATTTCTTGACAAGGTTGGATATATTCTGCCCATCGTTGAGTGCTCGGTCCTGTCAAAAATTGGTTACTGTTTAAGGCTCGGTTTGGTCCGTGTCTAAACTTCTCGAAATTGTACTCGTCGGAATCAGGTCTGACTAATAAATTTATATTAATACTACATATATAAATACTCTACTAATAAATAAATCAACTAGAATATTCTAGTTGATTTAGATATTTATTCGAGACTGGTGGTTAAAGACTGCGGTTATACTTGTTATATTATTGTTTATCATCAAGTCAACTGTGTTGAGATTTTGTTGTCATGGATTTTAGTGCACGCATATTCATTCTGGCTAGTTCGAGCTCGTATTCCCGTTGGAATTTGTTTACTTTAACAACTGTTTCACAGTTCCTTGTCGCTGCCAAAGTCCTCTTGTAAGTCGCCGTCAGACCTTTTTGTTCATTTGTGATTTGTTATTTTTTATCTGTAATCAACAAAGTCAAGTTCGACAAGCACAAAATGGAGTCTGTGTTCATGAGCTTTTGACTTGACTGACGCTAGTTTGTCCATATGGACTTCCATAGACAATTTGTACAAAATTCGACAATGTGCTTTTGGGTCTTACACTTCATAACTTTTTGATTTTTGTCTTGGATGCGTGATGCATCACCAGCAAGGATCTAAGATGCATTATCAACAAATACTTTTTGATCATAACTACCTTCTTAGCTCTAAAGCTCTTGGTAACAGCACATTGTCAAGAGTTTTCCATCAGATTGCCAAGCGTAAGTTTTTTATTTTGGAGGCAATTACAGATCATCAAGCGAGATCAACTTTTTAGGTTTGGCGACGCCAATGTAACCTCCTATGTCATTCGATGGACATTCATTTTGTTGTGTTTAAACTTATTTTTTAACTCTTAACTTTAACCACTACAACTGTTATTAAATGTATATGTTATCACTTGAAACACGATACAGTATTTCATATTCAATCATGCGGTCCAATCACACAACATCATGTTTCAACGGCTTGACTCATCATATTCTGCAAGTTATTAGATTATTGGGTGTTGTCCAAGTCTTTAGTTTTTCCTTGACCAGCTCTCTCCAAAAATATCCTTCATCAAGTCTATCTTTATCTAATTTTTTCTGGATCGAGGATCAATCTATCTTTATCATCTTCATACGTTCGCCCTAATGTTGCTGCCCACAACATGGCGTCTCATGGATCCGGGTTCCTCCAGGGTCTCGTGGCTTTAACCGGACCTTGTCACAAACTGAAGACAAACGTAGTGACATAGCAAAGCAAGAAAAGATCCGTCCAATTTTTTAGCTCTCATTGGTTCCTCGAGCGCTTTAGTTGACCTAGGAATTAGCAGACGATAGACATTGCCTGCCATTTTTTGGTAGTTATTCCATGCTAAATCGCTCAAGCATCAGATTGCACGATCGACTGCTTTTTAGAAGGCATCGCTCTCTTCAACAACCAATTTGATACAATCTGTAAACTTGACTTCTCATCGCCCACTTCTGGAGTGTTAGTGCTAATCACCACATCTTTTATTCTTGTTCAAATTTGGCTATTACAACCACGACTATGAGTAAGGAGTATCTCAAGCTAATCGATACATGGATTTCAGTCTAATAGTTTGATTTACATCTGTACATTGTCAATTTAGCTTAAAACAATTCATTCAATATAGGAAACAAATTTTACTACAATATGTTACCGATGATACTACAATCATTTTTCCATTTTCTATCAGTCAACAATCTTAAATCAATTATCAAGTGAGAAAATTTGAAATATTGATGCATGTAAATACGTTCATGAAGTAGCATCAAACTAAATCACATTACTTCTTCAACTATACCTGTATTATACTTTGAAATATATTTAATATCATGTGTCTTCTTACATTTATAAGTCCATCATCTTTTCATGTCACAACATTCACGAAGATAATTTATGTAATCCAAGAATGTGTTCGTGACAACAATTTTATTGACTTGATCTAAACTAGAGCTTCTTTAGAAGCTCTAGTTTCTTTTTTAGAAGCTCTAGAACAATTCTTGCTTTTGAAATAAAAAAACTATGACTTATATTCAATCTATAATAAAAAAATGTGATTGGACTGTAATTCTAATTATAATTACATTTAAAATTTTTTCGAACAAGTTTTTCTTAGGAAAAATTGAGACTTTGTATTATTTATTGATACTGATAACTTAATAACAACTGTGTACTACAAAATTGATGAAAATACTCAATATTAATTTTTGATAAATTGAAATGTAATATTTTTGCAACAAGATCATTCAGATTTCTATAAGACATTTTTAATTATAAATAAACTATACATCTTTCATCATAAACTTCAACGCAATTTTTTATTTCAATCGTCATTTAAACTTGAAAGAAAATTTAATTTGTGATAAAAGAAAATTTAGTCCAATATGTAATTTAAAACTTCGTCCACTAAATGATCATGATTGTTTGTTAAAAAAAATGCATGAATGATTGAGGTACGTTAGTCATGTTAAATTGATGCTAATATACTACTTTTCATCTCTTGTTGTTTGAATAAATTTCAGCACAAACTACCAAAGATAGTTGTATTTTGATGATTTCATCATGTCAAAAACAACAACTAAGAGATATTTCAACACAACACATTAATAAGCAATTCAAAACTGAAGGTGATTAAAATACTTACATGCCTATGTGCCATATACTCTGAAAGTGGTACTTATATCAATCATCACAGTTAGATTATGAAAACCTAATAATTTTTGTATTGTCTTTTGTTTGCAATTGCAGCTTTTAATAATCCATGTTTTCATTACAGTACGAGAAGTCCAATAGAATATTGTTTGAGCCATAAAGAAATCAAATCAAGTCATTTAAACCTTGGAGAGCACATATAGAGCTTTAGGAAACTTTGTTTGCGAGACTAATGACTATCGTCCAACCCGTTGTTCTTTGTTATTAACTTCCAGTTTTCAGCTGGATGAACTAGGACAAAGTAAAACGAAATGTACCGTTTTGTCTCAATAGAAGTATCTATATGGATCAATGTGATAAGTGGAACTCTATAATTTTAATATAATGTGCAAAAGGTCACCTTTGCAGATTAATATTCCACGGTGTTGGGTATCAGACATGACCTATTTTGTCCCTCCCGAAACACGGATTTATTCGAGGAAATTGTTCATCGGCTTGGTTGCCACGTGTGATTCCTTTATAATCTGATCCCTACATTCTTTATATTCTCCAATAAATTTTAATATCAAACTATTGGCCGAGGCTCTAATTATAAATAGACACACATGTGCTGGAATTTGGCTCAGAATCATTAGTCCACAACTCTGGATTTAAAAGCTTCTGAACCTGAAGAGAACCTATCATCGAGGCCCAAAAAATATCTGTCCCAACCTTTTCTCTCATATTACAGATATCTATGTATCTGAAATCATTGAGATAGCATCGAATGACTCTCTCTGTGAGGAAAGAATCTCTGTCCCAACCTTTTCTCTCATATTACAGATATCTATGTATCTGAAATCATTGAGATAGCATCCAATGACTCTCTCTGTGAGGAAAGAATTTCATTCATCTCAGACGGACATCTGAACTTCCAACTTCTCATCTTCATCCTCGTAAGGCTTGATGAGTTTTTCCATATTTTAAGCTCATTAGTATTTTTGGTATTTCGGGCATTTACAGTGCACATAAGACAAGAAAGTGGGCTTTGTAGTAATTCTCACTAGCGACAGACCTAGTACACAGTAGATCATTAAAGCCTCTGCGGAGCTCTCATGGCTCGCAACTGCGCAGGAATCTTTGGATCTCGAATTGCAAATTGCAAGTTGACCTCTTCCGATGTGCAGAAAATTCGACTACTGTACATCATGGGCCCTGAATCCTCTACGTCGCGCGTTGAGGAGCGCAAGACGACGGTCGCAGTTTCCCCGCGGCCTGTCGGCGGAAAAGTATGTCCGACTTGCGACTGATCGACTGCAGAAAAAGGAACCATCGACTATAAAAGCCAGCTTTCTCTCGACGGTAGACTGGAGACTCTTGTATCGTCGTGTTGTGCCCGCGACCTACCCGACCGACCTGGCACAATGATGGAATCTATCCGATTCCGGATGGGGGAATTTGTAATATAGCAAAAAGATGGGAAGACCCAATCGAGCCTACAGTGATGAAACGGATCCCTAAGATCACGATTTGCGATCTGCTAAACAGTCCCTGATTGCTATTTTAAGAGCTGTTACTGAACACAGACGCTCAGCTACTGCCCTGTCGACAAATTGCGGTCAACCGTTATGAGGAAACCACGCTTTCAATGGATGGGGAGGAAGTTGGGGGCATACAGAGTTGTCCTCTTCGTCGCTCCATTACGTAAACTACGCATCCGTCACTGACGTGATCGAGATTGAATGCAGGAGGGAGTACGATGTGCCCATCAAAGGAAGCCAATACTTGACGCTGGATTCACTTCTCACTACGACAAATCGCTCCGAAGGTGCAAGCGAGCAAACAAAGTCAAATTTAGTTCGGAGATGAAGTCAACAAATAGCATAACAATCAAAGGCCTTGATTTATAACATATGATAGAATATACAAATATTATTACACCGGGAGAAAAGCTGCAACGTAAGCAGCAGATTTGTCTGAGACATGAGCTCACATATCCTTATAGTCTTTTATCTTTTTCGAAAATGGAGACGGGAAATCAGTGCCATTTTGCAACCAAAAGTGCACCCGATTTCACTGGTCTAACCGCTACTTTCCGAGTAGTAAGAAACGGCTACTAAAATCACCACCTCACAGCGTCACTGTCAGAATCAGGATGTATTTCACACCCAGAACCATCTGTTACTTCATCACATCGGTGTAAGGGCAAGATTAAGGATAAGACATAGCACTACCCTGAGAATCACCACACTTCTAAAAATTCCTCACAACGATGTGATCAGTGGCAACTTAAGCTACGAGATCGCTTACTGTCTGACAGACATTGTGATGGGTTGCATCAGGGCACACATGCTTCGTGGTGGACATGCTTATCATGCTTGGGCATGCTTGTCGTTTTTCACAATCTGGAAAGAGTAGTCGATCGTAAGGTAGCACAAACCGTCGTCGTCAACGAACTGCGCAAAAAGCCAATCACGACGGATCAGATCTCCACCAAAGATAAGTCCTGAGGAGGAATCGGACAAAAGACGATGTCTAGCGATTACTGCTCAGACGTTGAGGGTAGAGAGCTTCATGACTCAGTCATTGTCTCAGAACGAGTGCGATCCACGACCAAGTACAAATGATTTTGAATACATATCCTTGAAACTGTTACTAAAGGTAAAATACGCTCTAGTCCGGGAAACACATTCCACTAGAAGATGCCTGACGGGTGGCAACTACATGACGCAGCTTGATGCCAACGAAGATTCGATGCTCTTGATGACATGCGATGCAAGATTCTGGGAAATTGCGGCATGGGATCTACTTTGTTAGCTCCTCACTTCCCTTCCACTAAAGATAACTGGAAATGGGATCGAAGAAGAAGAGCGGACTATGTTACTCATCCTTGTGAAATTCATACGAGAGCAAGGCTAGAATGCAAATTCAATCGGTCGAATGAATTCAAGGACTGGGTTGAGTAAGCTTGTTGCGTGACATGTCACCTTGGTTTTGGCTGTGTATGAACCGCGGGCCAGAACTCCTGAGGGTGTCTCTTCTTCCTCCATTATATGTGTGTACGGCTCCTTCCGAGGTGCGAAGGTCCCGATCATCACAGAAGTCTTATCGACTGCCACGCCAGAAAAAAGGTTACAAGTTCATCTAGATTTCTGGCACCAATAATATCCTCCTTTACAGATGCAATCTCCGCGTCATGAACACTCAAGATCGGCGCCCAAATCCGAACATTAACAAATTATTGGTGCGAGAAATCAATTCTACTGAAGCACCTACCTAACAGACCGCTTTTCCAAACCTTGTTGACATAGGTCAACCCAGATACGAGATTGCGCTGCACGGTGAAAGTAAATTTTAGGTTGTAAAGGCTGTTCTCTCTCAAAGTGAACGTCGGTCCACGAGTAGAAGTTAAAGGCAAAGTGAATGTTATGTCCTCGAGTCCCGGCTGGATCATCCCTATGGTCAAGAACTTCACCTCAGGTTCCACATTGACTGCACAGCAAGGAACAACTTTCGCCATTGGTACTTTCATTCCATAATCACCAAACAAAACATGAGCAAGTGAATCGACAGCTCGTCGAGTAATAAAAACATCGCGCAGTCAGAACAAGTAGTGTTAGCGCATAGATCGATCCCCCACGTAACTAGTACGCGCACCGAGGTGTACTCGAAAAGTCCACGCCGGGGTCTCAGATTGTGAATCATACTTTTCGAAATCGTCATAATGAGAAGGGGATATGCACATCCTGTCTCATGAAATGAAAGGGCGATGTTACGAGCTCATTATTGAGATTCGACACGTACCATCAATAGCGTCGAGCTGGAGACTGCCAAGCAATTGCTCTTTCCATCTTCTCAGGCTCACATCGTCCTGCATCCACAAGTGAGCGCAAGAAAAGTTCAGACCCTTCTAGAGTAGGGATATTACCCGTTACGTCATATGGTACAGGAAAACGTTGTAACAACATTACAGCGTTACGCCTCGAAGCTTGAACGAGCTCAATTTCGGCTTTTGAACCGAACGTGGGATCTACTTGTGATTTTCCACGATGTGGGCCAGCTTCTCTGTCGACAAAAGATAGGTGTACTCTTCGGCGAACGAGCGATTGCCTCGAGCCATGCTCCATGTCTTAAACCCATGCGGAGAGAAAACAGGAAATCTACTGCAAGCAACACAAATTCATCGCACACTCGCAGCATGCTAAAACCCATCCGTGCAACTCGAGCTAACGATAGACATCGATCCATTGCGCATACGAGCAACTCTGATTGAATGGGACGAAAGCCAAAATGTAGCAATGACCAGTCATGCCTGGAAAACCACAATCCGTAGCGGCACTGACCTTGTCAAGGTCCACTTGCTGCTTTAAAGGGACCATGGGAGAATCCATGTGGAAATTATCCTCTATGACGTCCATGTCTTTCCCCTCCTCCCCGAGGTTCAAGCTGATGGATGGAGTGTTGAATGCCAGAATGGGCAACTCTTGATCCCTTCTGAGCGACAACAAAGAATTCCTTCGACTCAACCCCGACGCTGGGAGATCCAAACTGCACCGATGCAACACACTCCCGTCAGAGTGAGAGCGTCAGATCCCAGCCGGCAGCTCGTGGACTCGCCTTTCTTGTCATGAAAGAGCTCTCCCAAATCCCGTGTGCGTGCCGACCAGCTGCGATGGAAGGAAGACAATATAGATCCTTGCGACCTGCTCGCCTCCCCTAATTGAAAGTCAGCTCGTCAAAGATCGCCGTCCCTCGATCTCTCCCTCTCTGCCTTGCTCTCACTCACTCTCGCATCCTACTGAATCAATCAATCAATCAATCAACCAACCAAGGGTCCTCATTCATCCATTCATTTCACACGCTCAAGTTCCAGCGACCTATCATCCGACTGATCTCTCTCGAGTGTTGACGACGAACGCCTCCTCCCTCCCTCCCTCCCTCTCTCTCTCTCTCCCTCAGAGCCCTCTCCAGCTCTCTCTCCCCGACCCAACGCCCACTTGTTGCCCACTCAAGCCAGACGAACGCTCATCCCTCCCAACCCAATAAATACTACGAGTGAATCAATGAATCTCACTATTGCCACCGGTTCTCACTCCACCTGATCCGATCCCAAAACAGCAACCCTCATTCATTCTCCCCTTCCATTTTATATATACAGTATGCTCCCTCACATGGCCTCCCTCGCCCCCTCCCCGACCTGCCTTGACCCGAGGTAGCCAGCAGCCCACAGCGATCCTCTCCTCTCCTCCCCTCTCCTCTCCTCGACGACCACCACGGGAAGCGCTTTGCCGGTTTCAAATTCTCACCCCGCTTCCCAATCTGCGCTCCTCCGCACCGTAGCACCGGGTCATTTTCAAATTCGCTCCTCTCCTCCCGGTAACCGAATCGGAACCCAGGCCTTGCGCGCACGGCGACGGTTGACGCCGGATCCTGAGCCCGACGGCAGTGAGGCCAGGCCGTCAGATCCAGTTCTCGCGGACAATGCCTGCCGTACCAACGTGAGCCCAGACGATCTGTCCGTCCGGATCTGAATTCACCTGGTTACTCCTCTCGCCTGGGCCACCGGCTCTGAAGCCATCGGATCGCCCATCGGATGGTGTGAAAGCGGTTTTCGCTATCTGCGACTCAATTCGGTTCATTCCGAGTGGAGTATTTAGTACCCTCCATTTCTTCCACGCCTTTCGCCCGTTCACAATCACTAGGTGTCAGGTCCTAAGCTGAATATGGATTATGGCACTCGATATCGGAGCCCTCGGAGTCAGCGCCTATCAACACATCTCCCCACACCATCCGCAATAGACCTACCGACTCGGTCCCGGTCGGCCCACAGGGATTACGGTTTTCCGTTTACAGCAGAATCATCCTCATTGATTTCATGAACAACTTAGTACGTCATGGATATGGTGTTCAAGATTTGAATTCTCCGTCATCGTTATCAGTGAGTGACGTGGAATTATACTCACAGACTACATACGACTCTAAACATATATATCAGCTGGAAATTAGGTAATTAACTTGAACTGTTATTCGAATTATGATGGCCTTGATACTCCATATTCTATAGCAAAAGCGACTACTCCTTACATTAAGCATTTAGATCTGTGGGTTTCATAACCAGAAGTATTCCTAAATTAATGGAAAGAGTAAATAAAACGTGACTATTTGCTTTGTACTTTGTGGAACTTTGTTTTCAAATGAATTTCAGTCTAAGGGATAAATTCCATGGATATAACATGAAGATGGTCATACCGAAAGGAGGTACCCGGAGATAGAACTAAATTCAAATCTGGGCAACTGTAAGGTCGTACTACTTGGTGGGAATTTTTCATCTAGATGAATCCCTTACCAAAACAAACAAAATTTCATCAAGTTTATTAAAGAATAATTATACCTGAAGTCGTTGCCGCGAGAGAAGTATGTATGGAGGAACCCATAATTTTTGTAGTCATATTCCTTTCCACACGTATAATTTTCGGGCTGGTAGATATCGAACATCTCTCATCTTAAAACATTTTGCTTATCGTATAGCTTGTGATAATTATGTATCGACATGGAAGAGAGAACAAAATACTTCTCAAATTTACACAAATGCTATGAAGCCATCAAGGTTTAATTACGTAAATAAAAACATGGAGCATGCTTGATCCGTGAATTTTCAGTACTCGGGTTTCAAGTTTAACAACTCTCATTCTTTCGTGCTTTGGTTTTCAATTAGACATATCCAAATATATAAAGATTTTTTTTGTTTTGCCCTTGACTAGCTCAATTGCCAGACAGTTAGAATCTGTCAACAATAAACTCCAAAGCTCAAGGAAAATGAATACATTGTGTACCAATGTGTTTTTAATGAACACCACATTGATTCAAGTATAACGTATATGTTATAAAATATTTGGTAGGTCATTTTTTATGTAAAGAAGTAATTTAAATATGGAATTAAATAGTAATCTTTAATTGTTTTCTTAAAAAATACCATGTATTTTCTAATTTATTCTTCAGATTTACATATTGGATCAATAAATTTTATATTATAAAATTCGTTTGTTCATGCAATCAATTTCATTTGATCTCCACATATGTCACTGAAGCCAAATTCCATCAATTTTATTTAAGATTTTATGAAAAATGAAACGAAAAATCTTATATTTGAATTTTATCCAGCAATACCCTAATTGTAAAATGCATGTTAGTTTCGTACGTATTATGTACAGGTTCAGCCTTATAAGTCAATTACTTTCAACGGTCTAGTCTTGTAGACACGTTTGATTAATGGATTGTGAACATAATAACATAACATTTCAGCTAAATTATGAATGTTGGCATCAAGTGTTAGATTAAAATCTTATAAGTGAATTAGGAACTTTCACCAAAATGTATTATTCAAAACCATGCGATTCTTCCAATAAATATAAATTTATCGATATAAGGAAATAGTTTTCAAAGCTTATATCATATGAAATATTCACTATTTTGTATAAAACATTTCATGCTATCATCATGTAGATGTTTCTAGTGTGAAAGTCTCTCATTTTTTCTTTATAGGAAGAACAAGTGATATGGAGTATGAAATGTATATATATATATATGAGAGATGTATAGGAGTGAATACAATCAACTAACTTTTCTTCATTTTCAATGAACATTTCAACAGGTGTAAAATATAGTTTAGGTTCTGCTGTAAGATCAATTAATCTAAATTTTATTTTAATAAAACATGACAAAATGTTAGATTCAAATGCATGAAGAAAAAATTCAGAGTATGTCAAAACTATACTTCTTTAGAGATATATATTTTTCTTCTACTCCAAAAGATGCAGACATGTTATTTAAGTCATTGCTTTGTAATTTTTTGTAGTAACAATCTATACAATTATACATATATCTTCTAGCCTAATAGATCAAAGACTACTTCTAAAATGAATACTTTGTTATATTGTGTAGAAACAACTTTCTCATAATATAATTTGTAAAAGTACTATCTTGAATATACATTTTGATACATCTCAAAACATGAATGATTTATTCTCATAAACCGCAGAACAGCAATGTATTCTGTTATTTCAAGCAATATAGAATTCTTGTGTCATATTTTTCTTGATAGTAAATTTATTATTCTTCAAATTTTTTTAACATAAAATCTTTAACTTCATTTACACTTTTATACAATAAAAAACATATTTTGGTTATAAATTACAATTATCTGCATGAATAAAATGTTGTTGTAAATAATTATAAGCAAGATAAAAAATGCAATATAAAATACCAAAGTCTTATCAATTTACAAAGAAATACAACTCGTGCATATATCAATTTGAAGACTATAAAAGAAAAGTATCTCTAATCAATTTGAGATTATACACTTTAACACTTCAGATATTAAACCTGTGAAATAATCTTTGATGGTGAAAACATCACACTTTTTTCTAATAAAATGTACATGTTTCAGAAACTATATATATCATTACTCCAAAGAGAATAAATTTTAAATGAACTATCAATCATGATCAAAGAAAAATATGCAATACTTTTATAACATAATTATTGTATTTATAAATGTAATCAATATTTTGTTTGTAAATATTGTTCAGGTTAAGGAGTAACCTTTGTCCTAACTAAGTTAGGTCCGAGGTTTAGCTAGAAAGTTTAGTTAAGACGAGGATACAGAATTAACCCTCCCAATAGTGACGTACATTGATTATAGACTTTTATGTCACTATTGGGAGTTGTCATTCACACGAGATTGGGTACAAGTTACTACTACTACTTCAACTACTCAAAAAGTTACATGATTCAATTATGGACAGATTTTTTCATTTAAGAAATGTTGAGAACCAATTTTGCAAAACTGAATGCTCTCTAGCTTACATTGGTGGTTATAATCAATATGAATATCAACTGGTACGAAATATGTCATGAACAAAGGAAGAGTCCATCCACAACCATGTTATACTTCGTAAAGCCACATGATTTTCTGCAGACATGTATAATTAACTGTCATGTCTTTGGCTTCAATCAAATAATGTTCTTGGACTCGGGTTAAGGAGTAACCTTTGCAAAGATTTAACTCTGTACTTAATTTCATAGACTTCTAACAATACTAGGTTTTTTCACTATTGGCAATATACTCTCTTTTGTTTCTCTATGGTGAAGGTAGCCCTACACCAAGTTATATTAGTCTTCTTGTGTTTATCATATTCTATACTTCCATCTGGCTGTTGCTATTTTGCTGTCTTGTGCTAACAAATATATCATAATATTATTTCAAATATCACATCTTAAATTTTAAGAAATTGATATAAACTGAATTTTAACAAATGATCATTGATATTCTTGAGATTATTGAAAGTTAATTATCAATAAAACATACTATGATCAACAATCATGAATTCATGATTATAACAATCATGAGTATTCATGATTTAACCTAATTCATTATTATTAATCAAGTAATCAATTTTACTAAATTTGCAGATATATTTTGCTCAAAACAAAGCATTTCAAGTCATAATGAGCAATATTTCTGAAAGTGTTGATCTTCATCTTCATGTGCACTTTTCTTAAAAAATAATCATAATATATGAGCCAATAAAATATTTTTGTTATGATATTCAAAAATCTTTCAAATGAAAAGCTTATAAACATATGAAAATTAAATTTCACACTTCTAATTTCATCAAAATTTTTATTTTAAATCTTAAATTAATTTTACTTACACATCTAACATACATTAAACATAATTGTAAGATATTTCATATTTTGTTGGTAACAAAATTCTGAATAATATATTTCTATTTTTTAAATTTATATTAAATAAATTCAAATAATAATGATGTATATAATAAAATCAAATATTATATATATGTATATATTCAAAAAATCCCTCAAATTTTTTATTTTAATTATAAATGAACTAATATAGAGTAAGTAGTTATGAAAAAAATGTGAATCATATGATTTTGATAATACATATATATATATATAGTTTATAATTAGAATTAGAATTATTTAACATCTTAGCTTTCTAACATTTTTAGCTTACTAAAGAAATATGAAATATTATGTGGCAATAAATTTAACAAGCTAAGTGTGCTCATATCATTCTTAATACCATAATTGAAATTAAATATTTTAGTTCATGCTTTTCACTGTATATTCTTACAACAAATATAAGATCAAAAAAAATTAAATTGACACTCTTCATTGCCAATTTCAAAACTTGTACAAACGATTGTAATCCTAATCCTCATCAATAAAATTAATAGCTTGTAGCTTTATTTGCTCAATGAAATCATACCATTTAATTTCTTTTC